AGTAGCTAGGATAACAGGCTTGAGCCACCAGCACCCAGCTTATGGTTTGATTTTGTATCCTGCTCTTTTGTCAATTATTAATCCACTCTAGGAGCTTGGGGGTGGAGTCTCTTGGGTCCTTTGGATATAAAATCATGTCACCTAGCCTGACACTGGTGGCCCCGCCCTGTAATCCTAGCTACTCAGGAGGCTGAGACCTGAGATTTAAAGCCAGCCTGGGCAGGAAAGTACATGAGACTTGTCTCCAATTAACAACCAGAAAACCAGAAGTGCTGTTGTGGCTCAAGTGTTAGAGCACTAACCTTGCAGCGTCCAGGCCCAGAGTTCATGCCCCACCACTGACCAAAAAAAAAAACTGTTTCCATTTCCTGGAAAAGTTTGAGGAGTATTGGTATTAATTAATCTTTAAAGGTCTTGTAGAAATCAACTGTGAATCCATCAGGACCTGGGATTTTCCTTGTTGGAAGACCTTTTTTTGGGGGGGGGGGGGGGGGGAGAGGTGTCGGTTGTGGGGTTTGAACTCGGGGCCCAGGCACTGTTTGTGAGCTGCGCTTGGCATACTAGTTTTGGTTGGCAATTGTGTGGTATAATTCAAGCTCTGCTTGCATTCAGAGTTTGTGTGGATAAATCTGGTTTTATCCTTATCTTTCCATTGTAATAAAGTTCCCTCTTTCATTTTGCTGCATTTAATTCCTTGGTTTTTAAGTCCAGCGTTTTCATTACAATGCTTCTAGAATTTCTTACCTGATCCTGTCTGCTAGGAATTCTGTATGCCTGTGTCATCTGGGTGAGAGTCTCCTTGTTGGGGAAGTTTACTATTATTATTATTATAGTCAGTCATGAGGCTTGAACTCAGGGCCTGGGCACTGTCCCTGAGCTCTTTTTGCTCAAGGCTAGTCCTCTACCACTTTGAACCACAGTACCACATCTAGTTTTCTGGTGGTGAATTGGCGGTAAGAACCTGATAGAATTTCCCTCATAGGCTGGCTTTGAACCAGGATCTTCAGGTCTCAGCCTTGTGAGTAGCTAGGATTATAGGCGTGAATCACCTGTGCCTAGCTTTCTTAAATAGGTTTTCAATGCCTTTAGTTTTTGAGTTGTTCTCCCTTGTTCAATATTTTGGCTGAATCCACCAACTCTGGGCCTGGGTGCTGTCCCTCAGCTCTTCAGCTCAAGGCTAGCACTCTACCACTTGAGCCACGGTGCCACTTCCAGCTTTTTTTCTTTTTGCTTATGTGGTGCTGGGGAATCGAACCCAGGGCCTCAGGCGTGCAAGGCAAGCGCTCTACCACTGAGCCACCTTCCCAGCCCTCCACCAACTCTTTATTGTCCCTTTGGTATGTTCTGAGTGTTTGTTCTATTCCTTTTTTTGTTCTAATTCCTCTGCTTTATCCTCAACTTCTGATACCCTATTATCTACTTCATTTATTCTATTGTCTGGATTTTCAACTGTGCTTTTCAATAGGGAGACAGATCCTTTCATGTTTTCTAGCCTTTTTTGATGTCAGTTCTCAGGGTGTTAATTTTGTCTCTCATTTCCTTCACTGAAGTATGTAATGTTCTTACATCTCACCATGTCACCTTGGATGTTCTGCGTTTTCTTCATTTCCTCTCTATATTCTTCTAGTTGATCTTGGATCTTCCCTTTTATTTCAGTAGCCAATTCCCTCATTGCTTTAATTTTGTTTTTCCTCGCTGTCTGTGTTCCCTGAGTTGTTGATTTTTGCGGGTGGCATATCATCTTGATTGTTGATGAGTTTTGTAATCTTTCACTGTGATTCATGCACCTGGGTTCAGGGACTGCTGGTGCTGGTCAGTTTAGGTATTAATTTCAGGTGTGGGATGCAGTCTCTGGAACCCTGACTGAGCCTGGAGGCATTCGGTACACAGTGCTGTGGGGTCCCAGCCGGGAGTTTGGCCTGACCCGCATGGAGGGTGGATTATTATTATTTTCATAAAGGTGACGTACAGAGGGCCTTCCCTTCTTCTGTTAGGGAATGAGTGCATTTCTTTGTGGACAGTGTCTACTCTTCCCTTGCTCACTCCCAGCTTGGTGGAAGTTTTGTTTTTTTTTCTGTTGGTCATGGGGCTTGAACTCTAGGCCTGGGTGCTGTCCCTGAGCTCTTCAGCTCAAGGCTAGCGCTCTACCACTTGAGCCACAGCACTACTTCTAGTTTTCTAGTGGTTTACTGGATATGAGTGTAGGACTTCCCTGTCCAGGCTGGCTTTGAACCATCATCCTCAGATCTCAGCCTCCTGAGTAGTGGGGATTACAGGCGTGAGCCACTGGCACCTGGCTGTGGTGGAATTTTAATTGTTATGGGAAACTCTTCCAAGATTACACCATATAGTCTTATGAGCCAGGCACTGGTCACTCATACCTGTAATCCTGGCTACTCAGGAAATCTGTGGATCATGGTTTGAAGCCAGCCTAGACAGGGAAGTCCATGAAACTCGTCTCTAATTAACCACCAAAAAGCTTTTAGTGGAGCTGTGGGTGAAGTGGCAGAGTACGGGCCTTGAGCAAAGAAGCTCAGGAACAGTGTGTGGGCTGAGTTCAAACTCCAGGACTGGCACCAAAAAAAGAGAAAGGTTTTGGTGGGTCTGGTGTGTTTTTTTGTGGATTTGGCATTAAGTTGTGAAAGCTGGCTTTCCTGTAGCTCACCTTAGAGGCTGATGAAGGGTTAGGAAAGGTCTGATGGCAGCTGGCCCTCAGAGTCCTTGCCTACTGGGTTCTCTGTGGGGAGCATCAGGCAGCCCACAGGTGGTGGAGAAAGAGAGTGTATGTTTCCATGAGAAAAACCATAAAAGAGGCTCAGTCTGTACCTACCTTGCCTCCGCCTCTTCCACTTGCACCCAGGAGGCGGTAGAATCAGCTCCTCTCAAGTTCTGATTAGCACATGGTGAGGCAAGAACTTGTAACTGCATCATTCATACTCGGCGTTCTGATTCCGTAAGATGAGGTCCCAAGAGAGACTAAGCGCTCTGAGGAACAGCGCCAGTCTAGCTAAGGACATGTGAAAGTGCAGAGGACTTGGTTGCAGTGTCCCCATGGACGGCAAGCCCCTCAGGACCGGGAATTCTGTTTACCTGACTCCATTTGTGCAGCTGCTGTGTGGGTTGATGGCAGCAAGCGCCACACTCAGCATTTAGTGGAATGGCTCTTTGGCTTCTAAGCCAACGGCAGGGTTGGGTGGCGGGGGCCTGAGGGCACTAGCACAGTGCAGAGGGTGTCCTCTACTTTGCTAGTGGCACCCCTCATCTCGTGCTCATCCTGTGTAGCTCACATGGGTGTGGTGGCTCCCACGACCAGGGTGGACGTCAGTGGTGTGTTTTCTGCTGAAGTTGTCTCTGTTCACACAGCTTGCAGCACCCTTGCCAGGCTCTGCCCTTGGCCAAGTGGCATCTTTAGGGGATGGTAGAGACTTCTTTTTTTCTTTCAAGTTTATTATGTACATATATAGTAAATTCTTAGCTGTATACATTCAAGGTTATCTGTATTCAGTTATCTAGAAATCACTGTTTTTTTCCTCTAAGCCTAGTATACCTTCTACATGCCAGAACAGTGGTTGGAAAAGTAAGGACCACTGGCCAATTCAGACTAGGGCCTCCTAGTTTTCTTTTAACAAATACAGAGTTATTCATAAATGTTTTTATATGGGGCAAAGGACTTTTCTTTGAAAATGAATATATCCACATAGAATCCAATGTAATCTTTTTTTTTTTTTTTCTTTTTGGGTCTGGTCGTGGAGCCTGAACTCTGGGCCTGGGCGCTGTCCCTCAGCTCTTCAGCTCAAGGCTAGCACTCTACCACTTGAGCCACAGCGCCACTTCCGGCTTTTTTTTCTTTTTGCTTATGTGGTGCTGAGGAATCGAACCCAGGGCCTCATGCATGCAAGGCAAGTGCTCTACCACTGAGCCACCTTCCCAGCCCCAATGTAATCTTTCATAAATCATACTGATACTGCATTTTCTATTTTATTTTATTGTAAGGTAGTGAGTACATTTCTTGTTGCTTGTTAACCCCTCCCTCATTTGTATTTTTTTTTTTTTTTTTTGGTACTGGTTCTGGGGCTTGAACTCAGGGCCTATCCCCAAACCTCTTTTGTTCAAGGCTAGCACTCTACCACTTGAGCCACAGTTCTACTTCCAGCTCTATGTGTATGTATGTGTGTGTGTGCATGTGCACGTGTGTGCACGTGCAAGAGAGAGCGAGAGAGAGAGTGAGGGGCAGGGAGGGAGATTAGAGATAACAAAGTCTCATGGACTTTCCTTCCTGGGTTGGATTCAGACTGGGATCCTCAGAGCTCAGCCTGCTGAGTAGCTAGAATTACAGGTGTGTCACTGGCACCTAGCTTTTTTTTTTCTTTTAAAGTAGACATTTTCTCCTTTCCTTTTTTTTTTTTCCAGTCCTGGCACTTGAACTCGGTCTGGCCGCTGTTCCTGAGCATCTTTTGCTGAAGGCTAGCACTCTACCACTTGAGCCACGGCACCACTTCTGGTTTTTTCTGTGTACGTGGTATTGAGGACTGGAACCCAGGGCCTCATGCATGTGAGCCAAGCCCTCTACCACTGAGCCACCTTCCCAGCCCCAAGCAGAGGTTTCTTGACATGACTGTTGTACTTTTTTGAAAACAACAAATTGCATAACATACAGAAAGGCACACACAAGATTTTAATAAAAATAAAGCCTACAATATTATTCTTCAAAGAGCGTTTTGGTAAACCACGTAGGATAGGCGGCTGTGGGCCTTCGCGCTCACTCTGGGTGTTGGACTTGCAGGCAGCTCCACACGGCCCTCTACAGGAGCCAAGCAGGACTGTCTTCTGAGTCCTCAGGGAGAAGGCCGCGGCTTGTGCTGAGATGGCTGTGCTCACAGCTGTCCAGGTCGGCCATGGACGCCTGTCACTGCACCCCGTTGCACGTGGCCCCTTCTTTTCTTCTTCTTTTTTAACATGTTGAACTCAGGGCCTCCCCATGCCCTCACTTGGCTTTCTTATTCATGGCTGGCACGCCACCACTTGAGCCACACCTCCATTCTGGCACTTTGCTGGTTCATTGGAGATGGAATCTTGAGGATGTGTCTGCACAGGCTGAGGTCAGACTCCTATAGGATTATAGGCTTACTGGTGGTGCCTTCTGGGTAAAGGTCCAAGAGCTGTTGTCTGTGGAAGTCCAGGGGTCTTTGGGGCCTTGGGGTGACTTGTCATCCAAGGGCTAGCTTCCTCAGCCCAGGAATCACACAGACCAAGGATTTTCTTGCTATCTATTTGAGTCTATAAAGCTTTATGCAGTTTCACACCTGTGGTGGGAAGGCTGCCAAAGAGGCCAGGCCAAGAGCGCATGTTGCCTGAGCCTTTACAAAGAAGTCTGCGCCCCTTCTGGAGATGCAGTGCTCAGATCCAGTATAGTAGTAAGTGTGTTTCCTTCTGGAAAATGCATGAACAGCATGGAGGCGTGGAGGGAGTGGGCCAGGACTCACTCATCCCACACCTTGTGCCTCTTCTCGTCTGTTTGGGAGCTGACAGGTCTTTTCTCCTTGTGTTTGGGCCCAGCCACTTTCTCTCTGATGTGGGAATGTGAGGATGGGTTTCTGAGCACTGTGGAAGTATTACTATCTAGGGCAGGGAAGCTGTCACCATTCACAAAGGCACTAGGTATGTCTCTGGAATCCTGGGATTGATAGCAGGCACTACTGTACTTGCCCTGATTGGTCTTAGAGGAGTCCCTGGGGGCTGGTAGTACAGGTCTTGGAGGGATCCCGGGGAGGAGGGGGGACACGGGGGAGCTGGTGGGTGCACAGGTCCTGGAGAGTCCCTTGGTGGGCTGGTATGTATGCAGGCCAGGCCATCTGTGGTGTGGACCTTGATCTTGATGTCCTTTTCAATCCAATTCTTAGCTCTTATCTTCCCGGGTTTTGGAAACTCTTGAGGTGGTGGAGAATAATAAGCACATTCCAGATCCTTTGGGGGAAGAGGGGAGTGTGAGAATGACAGGCATGTCCTCTGCAGCAGCTGCCTTTCTCCAGAGGACAGAATTCCTGTGGGGCCCACGTGGGGCCGGGCAGAGAGTGAAGGGAACGTGCGTTGTAGAAATGCATCGGCCCGCTATCCGCAGGGACACTTGGCTCAGAGCGGTGGAGGCCTGCATGCTCCCCTGAACAGAACTTGGGCTCAGCACTGGGACTTTAAGTTTGAGTGCAGAGGCGGCTGCAGCCGCTGGCCGCCCGCTGGAGGGTGTGAGGACACTGCCTCCTCCCAGCGGCTCTGGAGTGAGGAGCTCTTGTGTGCTTGGTGGTATCTGAATGGGTGATTTAGTCTTGCCTTGTGTTCTCCTCATTGCTTTGAGAACAGGTGTTTGGTAAGCTTGTATTTAATGATTAGCTGTTTCTTCTCATTTGTTTCTATAGGAGTGGATTTGCTGGGTGAGTTCTGAAAAGGTGAGTTTTTCAAGTAACTTACTCCTACATCAATATTTCAAACCCAAGTAACCGTGGGTTCTTGGTCCTTACCAGGATTGAGTTGTTCCCAGGCCTTTGCGTGAGTGTTCTTAGAGGCTGAGGCCAGAGAGGAGGCAGAGCTGTTAGGGCTCAGGAACCGGCTGCTGTCAGCTCTCCTCCTGCAGTTTCTCTAGGAGGTGGGCCAGGAGCACGCGCCTCTCTCCAGGGCACCCTGAGAGCTTGCCCCAAAGCCCTTGGCCTTGTTAGTTATCTACAGCTCCGGTAGGAGCCATGCCTAGAACTCCTTTGCTTCTGGTTGTTCTTGGCCTTTGGGTGACATTTCTCTTTCCTGTCTTCAGCCATGGGAGAAAAGGCCCGCAGGAGCAGAGCCCCAGCTGTCCAGGCCCAGGGCGTGTGGGTCAGGTCATGGTTTTCAGGCTGTTGTGAGGTATAGCGATGCCCTTTAAGAGCCAGTGGGGTGTGTGGCCAGGGCAGGGAGGGAGGAGGATGGGAGGGAAGTGCTGGGATCAAAGAGGGAAAGTTCCACTTTGGGGTTTGTGAGGCCAAGAATTCTGGCATCCACTGTGTCTCGGGTGAGAGGTTGTTTTCAGCAGATGTCAGAGGCCCGAGCCCGCACCCTTTCCTCCCAGCAGAATTCTGTTCACAGGGGCTGGGGGCACCCGCCCCACTCCTCGGCACCCCAGGCACCTCCCTCCAGGAGTCAGCTGGCCCCCAGAGTCTCCCTCTACTGGGAGACTGGGCAGGAGGGCTGCAGTGCCCGGCCAGCGCCCTTGCTTCTCCACAGCTGGGAAGGAGGGCAGACCAGGGTGGATGGGGAGGGGGGAATGAAAAGGGGGGAGACCCTACCTTAAGATTTCTTCAGTGTTTGACTGCTGCTTTGTTTCCTGAAGTAAGAAAGTGGCTTAGTTGGAAAAGGTGTATGTACCTTTAACCCTCCCTACTTCAGGTGATCCTCTCCCACCCATACCCTAGGTGTGGGGCACTGCAGGGCCGGTGCTGGTGAGGGAGGGTCCTCCTGTGCTCAGCTGAGTGCGCAGGCGGGCTGGCCTACTGGCCTGCCTGCCTGCCTGCCGGCCAGCCTACCCGCCTGGGAGCCACAGACAAGGGAGGCAGCAGCCCCGCTGCCCGGCCCTGAGAGCTCTGACAAGAGCTGCCCAGGCCACGCCTGTTGGTGAATGCAGGCCGTGGCCGCCTTGGCCCTGTCACACAATTAGTGTGCGACTCTAGTGGGCGGTGGGAAGGGAGGGGACCTGGGGTGAGGACTTGCTGGGAAGGCACACAGGGTGTTCAGGAACCTCTTTCAGTAAAAGCCCAGCGGTCACTCCAGGAACCCCTTGCCCCATGGGAAGGGCCTGGTTAAGGACGCTAGGTGCCTGGGCTCAGCATGGCCATTCTTCTCCACTGGCACCCTGTCCTGTGTGAACTCACAGGGCTGAAGGAGGCCTGTGTCCTTCCACCCAGCCCTAGGCGTCCGTGTGCGCACGCACAGGACACGGTTGCACAGGGGAGGTGCTGCACTTCTGGAAGGCACCCTGGCTTGGCCCAAACCTCTTGCCTGTGGCCGCCCCCAGTCACCCTACAGAAATGCATGCAGTACGCAGGGTGTGGCCGCAGGGGCACCTGTGTGGGGCTTCTCAAGGCTGGGGCCTTCACAGCGCTCTTTGAAGCAGATGTCCTGGTGAACTTTGTAGACTCGCTTATACCTGTTGTCACAAGGAAAGCTCTGTGAAGTCAGAACTGAGGGAGAAACCTGCCTACTCTATGCAGTGCATACCCAGGGTGAGTGACAGTGGAGGGGAAGACCATATAATGAGAACACGCATGTATTAAATATCCAACTTAAACATGAATGAGCTAGGGCCGAGCACCGATGGTTCATGCCTGTAATCCTAGCTACAAAGAACAAAAAACTCAAGGACAGTGCATAGGCCCCGGCCAGAAGGGACGAAAAATACAGAAATTGTTGAGAACCAACATAACACTGTACTGTTCAGAGTATGTGGAAGTAAAAATGTCTGATCACAATTCAAAGGATGGGAGGAGTAAACGTATCCGTTTAAATGTGCCATTGTACTGCAGTTGGATACCAGTAATTCCAGGTATGTGGTGGTGAAATGAAGTTGCATATTGTAAATCCCAGAGCCACTACAACCACAGACAATGGTAAAACAATCCAAAATGAAGCAGAATAGGAGGAAATGTAATAAAGAACCAATGGGACAAATGGCAAACAAACAGCAAAATGGCAGATTTAAACCTAGCCACATTACGCCTAAGTGTCATTTAAATGGGCTAAAAGGATCATCAGAGGGGCTATCAGACAGAGTTCAGGCCTGGAGATCCTCCCACCGCACCTCTGAACGCTGCCCAGTCCTGGCCCCACCCCCTGCCTCACTCCAGCCTGGCTGGGCCCCATCCTCGGGCTTGCCAAGCGTACCTGGAGGCAGAGCCTTGGAGACACTCTGCGTTGTTGCCACCTCTTCCCTGAGACCTGCCTTAACTCTGTTTCCCACACGGCCTTTTGCCTTGTGCTGTCATTCCCTTTCATCTGAGGCCCTCCCTGTGGCCTTTTGTTGTTTTTTTGTTTTTGTTTTTTTTGGTCAGTCATAGGGCTTGAACTCTGGGCCTGGGCACTGTCCTTGTGCTCTTCAGTTCAAGGCGAGCACTCTACTGCTTGAGCCACAGCGCCACTTCCGGTTTTCTAGCAGTTTATTGGAGATAAGAGTCTCATGAACTTTCCTGCCTGGGCTGGCTTTGAACTGCGATCCTCAGATCTCAGCCTCCTGAGTAGCTAGGATTACAGGCGTGAGCCACCAGTGCCCAGCTCCCTGTGGCTTTTTGTTTTTGCTGGTCCTGGGGCTTGAACTCAGAGCCTGGGCAGTGTCCCTGAACCTCTTTGTGCTCAAGGCTAGTGCTCTATCACTTGAGCCGAAGCACCACTTCCTGCTTTTTCTGTGTCATTTATTGGAAATGAGTCTCACAGACTTTTCTGCCTGAGCTGGCTTTGAACCACGATCCTTGATCTCAGCCTCCTAGAAGCTAGATTTACAGACATGAGCCACTGGTGCCCAGCTCTTGGTGTGGCTTTCTATGACAGCTCCGTTGGCATGCATGCTCTTAGACAATTCTCTTACCTCACTTGTGTGCAAGTGCTCCCTGGTGTGTGCCGGTCTCAGAGCACATGCCAGGCACCCAGCACCGTGTGGGCTGACTCGGTGGGGTTAGCAGGAGGGTCCCAAGAGACCCTCAGCCCACTTTGCCGATGGGAAACTGAGGTAGGAATAGTTTGTCCAGGGCAAATGGCAGTTAATGGTAGCATGGAGACCATGCTCTAGAGGCTCCAAGGAGGAGAGGAAGGCCCAATCCCCAACGTCTGCAGGTGACCGCAGGAGGTAGGTCAAGGCCTTGGTTTTGCTCTGGCAGCTCTGGCCCTTGGCATGCTGCTCATCGCTGCCTCAGGCTCCTCACTGTCACACTGAGGGCTTGCATGGCCTCATTACCCCCATCAGCCTCCCCTCCCCGGAGAAACGGAGGCAGAGAACCCACACCAACTTACACATGGTGGCAGACACCTCCTTCCCAGACAGGAAAGGACTTGGTCTCCGAGAACAGCCGTGTGCAGGGACGGGGCACCTTCTCACAAGCTGTGGTACAAGAAAACCGTGTCACCCCGAGGAAGGCCGGTGGCCTGGGACCTGTGCCAGCTGTGCTCTGGGCCCCGCCGATGGCAGAGACTGACCTGATCCCACTGGTGTGCGGCCTGCGGGCACTTCCCGTGGGAGCAGCTGACTTCCCACCCTGGAGGTTCGGTCCCACCTGGGGCCTTCCCACAGCTCTGTTGTCCCTGGCCCCTGCGGTGTCATCTTGCTGTGTGTGGCCCCGCCCCTCTGTCCAGCCCATAGGCAGTACCCCATCCTGGTGCTGTGGATGGGTGTGTGGCCCGTCTCTGGGCCCCTATCCCCACTGCCTCCCTCCCTGGACACCCAGGGCTGAGCTCCGGGGTGCCAAGACCGGGCCCAGCAGCCAGCCCTGACGTACCGAGCTCGCAGCGCCTGCCTTTGAAGCCAGGGCCACAGTCACAGCTGTGGGCAGGGGCACCCGGCACACAGGTGCCTCCATTCTGACAGGCATCTTCTGAACAGCCTCCAGGGGCACCTGGAAACAGACAGGAAGGGTCAGCTGTGTGGTCAGGAAGGCCGGCTGGTACCGCAGGCCCTCTGCATGTCTGCCCCTTCTGTGTCAACACTGCTGGTCTGGGGGTGGACACAGGTGGTGTGCAGATAGGGGAGGAGTGGGAAGACAGGCCTTTGTGTGCCTGGCCTGATTCACAGAGAGAGGAGGGATGCAGGGAGGGACCCTGTGCGTGGCTCTAATGTCCTGCCCATCTCGGCAGCTCCAGGCAGCGCTGGCCTCTGCCCTTGGTTTGCCTGTGGCAGCCGGCACGGCCAGGAAGTTGCCAGCCTACCCTTGCCCTCTCAGATCGTTTCCCCGTTTTTGTTCTTACTGCTCTCTTAACTTTTTCAAGATACCTGTGATCTTAATTTTCCACTTAAAAAAAACTGACAATACAAAAACAGGATTGTGCCTTCTCCACCACATCTAGTATGGAAAGAGGCTCAGCCTTCTTCTGTCCATCGAACCCAGCCCCTGCATCTCGCTGTGTGGTCCCACTGTGTGACAGCGCATGCAGACCTTAGCTGTCATGGAGACTGGTAAATGCTGCAGGATGGCCGTGACCTTGGGGCCACGGGCCATGTCAGACCTCCTTAGAGGGAGTTAGCGGAGCCACTCACCCCTCCTGCCTCTGGGCTTCTTCAGATGGAACATGTGGTAGCAAGGGGCTCAGTCGTGTGACCCGTCTGAGGGAACGCTCGCTTACTTCAACCCTAACACGCCAGACAGCACACCTTCACTCTGCGTGAACTGTGCCTTCAATAAGGGACACTGAAGCACCGGCACTGGACTGGGCCCACACTGGTGCCTGAGGACAGGGCCAGCAGAGGCCTCCCATGGGGAATGCTGAGCTTGAATCCAGTTTGCAGCCCACCCTGTGGGGCTGCATGCCCTGGGGCCTGGGCAGGCCTCTGGTGTGACCTACCACGCATCTGGTTTTCTCTGGGGTCAGTTGAATGAGCCCACCCTGAGCTTGTGATGTAACTCAGGGAAAAAGGACGGTTGGTCCTAGAATTGTCCCTAGAAGGACAGAGCAAGTGACAGACTAAGGAGAGCACGTCTGTCGGCGCCCTGCGGACTGCCGTGCCTCAAGCCTGCCCCTGCCCCTGTGGAGGCCCCTCCCTCCACAGGCTCCACTGCCCTGAACCAACAGCACCTCGGAGGGAGTGGGGGGGGAGGGTGTGGAGGCCCCTCTTTTCCTACATGGGTGGGTGGGTTGGGCAGGTGCTGTCTGAAAGGACAGCTGAGCCACCTGGGTGGCGAGGCGAGACTCGCCCTGTGCCCTCCAGCCCCAGTGTATGATGCCCTGTGGTGGCCCAGGCACCTACTTTCTGACTTCCTGTCCACATCCTTGTCACCATGTCCAGGGGGCCGGAGGGCCAGGTGGGCCTGCTCAGCGGTCTCCTCCGTGTCACCATGTCCAGGGGGCCGGAGGGCCAGGTGGGCCTGCTCAGCGGTCTCCTCCATGTCACCACGTCCAGGGGGCCGGAGGGCCAGGTGGGCCTGCTCAGAGGTCTCCTCCATGTCACCACGTCCAGGGGGCCGGAGGGCCAGGTGGGCCTGCTCAGCGGTCTCCTCCGTGTCACCACGTCCAGGGGGCCGGAGGGCCAGGTGGGCCTGCTCAGCGGTCTCCTCCGTGTTCCCGAGTGGCACCAGTGTGGTGGGTTCTAGGAGAAACTGGAGGTGACCACACACATCTGCTCTGAACCTGGACCTGACCTGGGCCTGCCTGGAGCTGCCCTCCACTCTGGGGCCTCCAGCCCCCGCCTCCAGGGCTGCTCTCCGCCTCCAGCTCCCCCCCCCCCCGCAGGCTCTGGGGAAACCCAGTGAGCTGCTTTGCCAGGAGCCTTCCTACTGCCCAGGTGATGACCTCTGTCCCCATTTCTCTCCTTCTGTACCTGCCTCTTGGGGGTGGGGGACAAATCTTCCTCTTATCTGCCTGCGTTCTCTGTAGGACGTATCCTCAGCCCCCAGCTGCAAGTCTTGCAGTGACCACTGCCAGGCAGCTGGGCAGCTCCCTGGGCAACCCCAGTCTTTGCTCTCCCCACTTTGTCAGTGGTCGGGCTTGCTGTCCCTCAGCTCGTCAGCTTAAGGCTGGTGCTCTAACACATGAGCTACAGCGCCACTGCCAGTTTTCAGGTGATAAATTGGAGATGTCTCATGGACTTTCCTGCTGGGGCGGCTTTACACTGGGGTCCTCAGACCTGAGTGGCTAGGATGACAGGCGTGAGCCACCGGCGCCCGGCTGCTCTCCCCTCTCTCACTTAGAAGCAGCAGCGCCTGCACCAGCCCTCAGCCCGAGAGGGCGGAAAGGGCCTCCATCTCCCTGCCACCTCCCCTTCCTCTGAACGTAGCTCTGGAACAGGCCGTCAGGTCTCTGCTGCGGTCCCATGAGGATGAGACCTGGCTTTTAGGGGACCTCTGCCAGTACTGTGGGGGATGTCTGCTGCAGGCAGGTTCTGGAACTCACCCCTTGCCCAGCCCAGCCAGGGCATCGGGACCCAGGGGCTGGGGCTGCTGGCCCGGAGCCAGCCACCGGCCTCCCCTGCTGGGTAGCCTGCACTCTGGCACCGACCCAGGAGCCCAGAGCCTCCTGCATGGGTGGAGCCCCTGACTACACAGGTGGCAAGGGCCTTGTCACCGCTGGTTCTGGGGACAGGCGCTGGGCGAGAGCTGCAGCGGGGCCTTCGCTGGGCCGTGTGCGGGGCCAGCGGGTCTCAACTCACGTGATCCCACGGTGACGGCTCTGTGGGGAGAGCCGCCGAACCTAGCGCTCACTCTTCTTCTTCCATCCACCAGCTCAGAGAACCTGTGAGGGAAGGGGGGGTGGGGGGGTGTCACGCAGCTGAGCGCCCCCAGGGGCAAGGCGGGGGCGGGGCAGGTACCTGGGTGGCCGAGTGGGCGTCCCCGGGGCGCTGTGGTCACTGAGCAGGCGCAGCTCGGGCAGGCGAGCAGGGGGCGGTCTGTTTCTGAGCACCCGCGGGTGGTGTCCGCCCTGGTGCCAGCGTCTGTCAGCACCATCCCTGGGGGCTGCAGAGCAGCGGAGAGGAAGGAGAGTGGCCACCAGCTGGGGTGGGCTGCCCTTTGCTCTTGGCCTCGCTGCTGGCAAGGTGCATCTCAGGCCCCGCTGGGCTGTGCAGGGGTGAGGGGTGAGGAGCGGGGCGTCTCAGGCCCCCCGGGCTGTGCAAGGGTGAGGGGTGAGGAGCGGGGCGTCTCAGGCCCCGCTGGGCTGTGCAGGGGTGAGGGGTGAGGAGCGGGGCGTCTCAGACCCCCCCGCTGGGCTATGCAGGGGTGAGGGGTGAGGAGCGGGGCGTCTCAGACCCCCCCGCTGGGCTGTGCAGGGGTGAGGGGTGAGGAGCGGGGTGTCTCAGACCCCCCGCTGGGCTATGCAGGGGTGAGGGGTGAGGAGCGGGGCGTCTCAGGCCCCGCTGGGCTGTGCAGGGCTGAGGGGTGAGGAGCAGGGCGTCTCAGACCCCCCGCTGGGCTGTGCAGGGGTGAGGGGTGAGGAGCGGGGCGTCTCAGACCCCCCCCGCTGGGCTATGCAGGGGTGAGGGGTGAGGAGCGGGGCGTCTCAGACCCCCCCCCCGCTGGGCTGTGCAGGGGTGAGGGGTGAGGAGCGGGGCGTCTCAGGCCCCGCTGGGCTGTGCAGGGGTGAGGGGTGAGGAGCGGGGCGTCTCAGGCCCCCCCCCCCGCTGGGCTGTGCAGGGGTGAGGGGTGAGGAGCGGGGCGTCTCAGGCCCCCCCCCGCTGGGCTGTGCAGGGGTGAGGGGTGAGGAGCGGGGCGTCTCAGGCCCCGCTGGGCTGTGCAGGGGTGAGGGGTGAGGAGCGGGGCGTCTCAGGCCCCCCCCACTGGGCTGTGCAGGGGGGGCATCTCAGGCCCCCCGGGCTGTGCAGGGGTGAGGGGTGAGGAGTGAGGCATCTCAGGCCCCGCTGGACTGTGCAGGGGTGAGGGGTGAGGAGCGGGGCGTCTCAGGCCCCGCTGGGCTGTGCAGGGCTGAGGGGTGAGGAGCGGGGCGTCTCAGGCCCCCCCCCACTGGGCTGTGCAGGGCTGAGGGGTGAGGAGCGGGGCGTCTCAGGCCCCCTCCCCGGGCTGTGCTGTGCAGGGGTGAGGGGTGAGGAGCAGGGCGTCTCAGGCCCCCCCCCTTCCCCCCCCTCCCCCGCTGGGCTTGCGGGCCTTGTCAGGCCCGGCCTGCAGTGGGGCTGCCAGGGTCTCCTCTGTCCCGCCCCTCAGCACCTGCTTTCCGGTGGCCGGCTCACCTGTGGGACCCACCTGTGTCTGCTAGGAACCAAGCTGGGCGCACGTGGGCTCACGCCCATTGCCAGCTTCCATACAGACCAACAGCACACAAGCCACCCTCACTCGGCTTCTCTGCATCCTGCCAGACCTGTGTCCGGTCTGCCTGCGGCTGTCCTGGGGGCAGGAGTGGGGGGGCCCTCCCACCTAAGGCCTCCGCCCCGCCCGGCACTCACAGGTGATGATGTAGAGGTGTGCGGGCTCGCTGTGCAGCTGGCCCTGCTCCGTGCCCTGCACGGCCGTCACGGAGAGCTGGTACCGCCGCCCAGGCAGCAGGTCGCGCACTGTGTAGGATGCCAGCTTCCCGTTGGGGACATAGCGGCTCTTGGTGCTCTGGCTGGTGGTCACGTTGATGACATAAGCCTCCAGAGAGGTGCCTGGAGCAGGGGGGTCCCAGACCACATGGGCAGAGGTGGCCATGACGCGGGAGGCCGTCAGGTTCGCCGGTGGCAGGGGCCCTGGACGGGGACAGCAAGGGCGGCTGAGGGGCAGGCCGGGGCGTCTGGGAAGGGCACACTTGGGATCTGGCAGGGGGGGCTGAGGCCTGTGAAGCAGCAGTGTGTCTGCGGTGGGAGGGCCGGGCTGCTGCCCGCAGTGCTACCCAGCCTGCTCGCACAGACCTTCCCCAGGATGTCGGTGAGTGAGGGCTGGATGCAGGGGTGTACCCTGGGTGTGTGTGCACCTCCCGGCAGGGCTGTCCCTCCTCCCCAGCCATTCCTACCCACTGGGAGCGTGTACACACAGGTGAGGCCCGCCACCGGCCCCTTCCTGACCCTCCAGCTCTGGTCAGTGTTGGGTGGAGGCTGGGCAGGGGGTGGGCAGGAGTGTTTGGGTGCTGAAGGCAGCCTGGGAAGGTGTTCCCAGCAAGGGCCCTGGCCAGACTGGCAGGGTGGCTCCCTCCTCAGTCTTGGGAGGCCAGGGCCAGGGCAGTTTGGAGAGGCCTAGAAGTGCATGGTGGAGGCTCACAGGCCTACTTACGGGTCCACACGTGCAGTGGTCCTGACGCCAGGCTCTCCGTGGGCCTCTCTGCCCCTGTAGGCCCACTGAGGGTGGTGGTCCGCAAGGTGTACCTCCTTCCAGGCAGCAGGTCCCTGCCACAGCAGGAGAGAGAACTTCCTAAATTGGTGGCCTGGGCCCCCTCTGTGGCGGGGCGGGGGCGGGAGGCATGGCTGGCCCTCAAGAGTATGAGGCTGGGGAATCCTGTGCCGTGTCCTGTCTGGTCGGGGCTCCTGGAGCGTGCCCAGGCTGGAAGCTCTCTGAAGGCCCAGGGGGCTGGGTCCCGAGTCTAGAGGGTCCCTGGGTTACAGCTCGTGCTGACATCTGCTTTCCTCCTGGGGCTCTGGAATCTTCACAGGCACAGACGGGGTCCCCGGTGGGTGACCAGCCCCATGTGCCCACCTGGTCAGCGCTCCTGACCACAGCATTCAGCATGCCACGCTGTGGGGCAGCGCTCAGCTACCTGTGGGGCCCCTTTATGCCGAGTCCTCCTGGTGAGCTGGGCAGGCAGGGAGGCCAGTGGCCCCTGACTGGCGTCAGCAAAGCCCACCTGGGCCACTGTGGGCTGGAGCTGCCAGAGGCCCCTGAGGGTCAGCAAGGCTCACCTCAGACACCCTCAGGAAGAAGCCAGAACACATATCAGGGAAAGTCACGGAAGCCAGGCTGGTGGCACACGCCTGTCGTCCTAGCTACTCAGGAGACTGAGATCTGAGGCCGGTTCAAAGCCGGCCGGGGCAGGAAAGTCTGTGAGATTCTTAATCTCCAGTTAACCACGAGACATCCAGAAGAGGCGCTGTGGCTCAAAGTGGTAGAGCACTAGCCTTGAGCACAAAAGCTTACAGACAGTGCCCAGGTCCCAGCTCAAGCCCCATGACCAACAAAAACAAAAACAAAACAAAAACCATCCCGGCAGTGTTTACAACAGAGAGTTGAGGGTCCTGGGAAGACGGTGGCGGCAGGCAGGGCTGTCTGGTGTGGGAAATGGGGTGAATCTCTACAGAAAATGACTGCACAGCTGCAGTCCCACGTCCGGCTCAGGGGGCTGGGGCAGCGGCCGCGCGGAGCAGCCCCTCCTGTCCCCTCCAGGCCGACTAGGTGGGGAGCACCCTTTGGAGGGCTCTGCTGCGCTGTGGCCCCTGTTCTTAGTCCCCATCACACCTGTTTGCTCTGCACAGGGATCCAGAATTTTCCTCGCGGGCCATCCCTCCCCGGGGAGCCCAGGCCCACGCGGCTGCCTGCCGGCCACCGTGCAGGCCCTGTGCGGACCTCCTCCTCTGTGCCCAGGATCTGTGGGGCCCACCGTGGTTCCTTTCGGTAGCATCAGGTGTCGTGCTGTTCACGGTGGCTCTGGGGGGAGACCACTCAGCACCAAGGGGGAGGACAACTGTTCAGACACGGAACTCACTGTGGCCTCTCCGCTTACCTGAAGGTGAGCTGGTCCACGCTCCTGTCCACCTCAGTGGCCCGGCCCTGGGGGGCCTCTGGGTGGAGGATGGACACTCGGACCCCGCTGACGGTGGCGTGGTGGACCCTGTGCAGGGCCCATCGAACGGAGATGGCACTGGCTGTCACGTTGGTCACCTCCAGGTCCTCAAGAGGGCGGGGTCCTGGGGGTGGCGGGCTGCTCAGCGGACGCAGGCACCCCTGCTCCCAGGGGAGGGGGGCTGGTGAAAGATGCTGGGGTCTCAGGAGGTGGGGGAGGTGGGTCAGGGGTTCAGGCAGGGTGCAGACACCCAGGCTGTGCCCCAAGGTAGTGGGTACAGAGGGGCCCTAGCCAGGTCCTGGTCCTGGGCTGGGCAGTACTAGGCCGTGTGACTGAAAGCAGCAGAGGGTCCTCCTCGGCCTCCATAGGCTCGGGGCTACTGGCCTCAGCTCCCACCCGTCCCACAAGCACACTGCCCAGCCAAGCCCCTGGCACCCAGGGCCCAGGGCCCAGTGCTGATGGCGGTCTCTCCCGCACATCCCGGGCCTCCAGTTAAGGCTCTGAGGCGGGGCAGGAGTCCGGCAGACCCCGTCTCAGGAGCTGTGCCCAGCACGAGCCCACCCAGCACAGAGGCCCTGAAGGCTCCCGCACCACCTGCTCCACGCCCTGCGTATCATCTCTGTGGTTCCCCCACTGGCCTGCCACAGCTCACCTGGCTTCATGCCCCTCCTCCCCCCGCCCACATGAGCATCCAGGGCCCTCCACCCCTCCCCCATCACTTGAGCATCCAGGGCCCTCCACCCCTCCCCCACCACATGAGCATCCAGGGCCCTCCACCCCTCCCCCATCACTTGAGCATCCAGGGCCCTCCACCCCTCCCCCATCACTTGAGCATCCAGGGCCCTCCACCCCTCCCCCATCACATGAGCATTCAGGGCCCTCCACCCCTCCCCCATCACTTGAGCATCCAGGGCCCTTCACCCCTCCCCCATCACATGAGCATTCAGGGCCCTCCACCCCTCCCCCATCACTTGAGCATCCAGGGCCCTCCACCCCTCCCCCATCACATGAGCATTCAGGGCCCTCCACCCCTCCCCCATCACTTGAGCATCCAGGGCCCTCCACCCCTCCCCCACCACATGAGCATCCAGGGCCCTCCACCCCTCCCCCATCACTTGAGCATCCAGGGCCCTCTACCCCTCCCCCACCACATGAGCATCCAGGGCCCTCCACCCCTCCCCCATCACATGAGCATTCAGGGCCCTCCACCCCCTCCCCCATCACTTGAGCATCCAGGGCCCTCCACCCCTCCCCCATCACATGAGCATTCAGGGCCCTCCACCCCTCCCCCATCACTTGAGCATCCAGGGCCCTCCACCCCTCCCCCATCACTTGAGCATCCAGGGCCCTCCACCCCTCCCCCATCACATGAGCATCCAGGGCCCTCCACCCCTCCCCCATCACATGAGCATTCAGGGCCCTCCACCCCTCCCCCATCACATGAGCATTCAGGGCCCTCCACCCCTCCCCCATCACATGAGCATTCAGGGCCCTCCACCCCCTCCCCCATCACTTGAGCATCCAGGGCCCTCCACCCCTCCCCCATCACATGAGCATTCAGGGCCCTCCACCCCTCCCCCATCACTTGAGCATCCAGGGCCCTCCACCCCTCCCCCATCACTTGAGCATCCAGGGCCCTCCACCCCTCCCCCACCACATGAGCATCCAGGGCCCTCCACCCCCTCCCCCATCACATGAGCATCCAGGGCCCTCCACCCCTCCCCCATCACATGAGCATCCAGGGCCCTCCACCCCTCCCCCATCACATGAGCATTCAGGGCCCTCCACCCCTCCCCCATCACATGAGCATTCAGGGCCCTCCACCCCTCCCCCATCACATGAGCATTCAGGGCCCTCCACCCCCTCCCCCATCACTTGAGCATCCAGGGCCCTCCACCCCTCCCCCATCACATGAGCATTCAGGGCCCTCCACCCCTCCCCCATCACTTGAGCATCCAGGGCCCTCCACCCCTCCCCCATCACTTGAGCATCCAGGGCCCTCCACCCCTCCCCCACCACATGAGCATCCAGGGCCCTCCACTGTCCCCACATGGACATCCAGGGCCCTCCATTACCTCCACATGAGCATCCAGGGTCTGTCCACTGGGCTCCCCCCCCCCCAGCCCAGACGCCCAGCACAGGTCTGTCCAGATGCCTGGCCACCCACCCAGGGCTTCCTGCCCAGGCACTCCCACCCCAGCGGGCAGCCGGCACTCACGTGTGCGGGCCAGCAAAGCTGCGGGCCGGCTGATGTCATTCTTGTTGTTGGCGTGCCGCTTGACGGAGAAGATGGAGATGTTGTAAGCGCGGCCAGCCCCCAGGGCCCGCAGCTGGTGTGAGGAGCGGCCGCGGCCCACGAAGTCCGTGCGGCGGAAGGAGCCATCTGCCGAGGTGTAGGTGACCGCGTAGCCGTCCAGCACCTGCCTGGCCGCCGAGCCCTCCGGTGGGCTCCAGGACACGGAGATGCCGCCCTCCTCCACCCTCTCCACCCTGAGGGCTGTGGGTGGGAGGAGCTCTTCGGCGGTACAGCCAAAACAAGAAAAGCTGGTCAGCTGCCCGCTGTGCTGTGCCCGTCAACCGGCCTAGGTCTGGGCTGGGAGGCAGGGCAGGGCGGCTGGGGGGCGCTCTCCCTGCTTCAGGACCCCACCCCCAAGGTTTCACCTCGGCCCTGACACCTGAGCGGTGCCCTCCCCACTCAGCAGCCCCCTGGGCTCCGCCGCGAGGGCCAGCGCTGCGTCTGGCAGGGAGGGCCTCCCCCCCAGGCCTGGCCCCCTCACCTTTAGTGCAGTCTTTGCCTGTGTAGCCCACTTTGCAGGTGCAGCTGTGGGAGCCATTGCTGGCCAGGCAGTAGCCATGGCCCCCACAGGGGCTGGAGAAGCAGGGGTCACTCGCTGAGAGAGGAGATGAGCATGAGGAGGACGGGGTCCCGGCCAGCCTCCCTGGCCCGGCCTCCACTCGAGCGAGCTGCTGGCGGGGCCCTGCCTGAGCACGGTCCCGGGCAGCGCCGTCCCAGGCAGGGGGCAGCGCTGGGGGACAGTGGAGCCTTGGGCCCGAGGGAGGCCTTCTCAGGGACCCGCTGGGGGCCAGGAGGGGGCAGGCAGGGAGCGCCTGTCATGGGCAGCGGGGAATGCGGCCTGTCCTGGGTCGGGAGGCCTGGGCAGGCGGAGGAGCTGGGGCTGGGGGAGGAAGGAGTGGGTGACCAAGGAGGGGTCTCCCAGGAGGGGCTGTGGAGTCCCAGGTGGGCGGCCGGGCCCATGTGCCTACCTGTCTCACAGTGGTAGCCAAAGAAGCCCTCTGGACACACACACAGGTAGGTCCCGCCGCCGTACTGGCACTGGCCTCCGTGCTGGCAGGGGCTGGAGTGGCAGGAGTCCACCACTGGAGAAGAGCCCGAGAGTCGGCCCGCGCTGTGAGGGGGCCGCCGGGGGCAGGAGGAAGGGACGAAGGAGGCGGGGAGCAGAGGCCAGGAGGAAGGTGTGGGGAGCCTGCAGGGTGGGGGGGCTCTTGGGGAACCCCTCTGCACCACAGGCCTCCCTGCCCCTCCTTCCAGAGCAGCCTCCCATGGCTGGCCCCTCCCCGGGCCTGCCAGCAGAGGAGGTGGGCTCTCCCAGCCTCCAGCGGCCCTACCTGTCTCACAGAGCACTCCAGAAAAGCCCTCGGGGCAGGCGCAGGAGAAGGACCCAGGGAGGTCTCTGCACACGCCTCCATGTCTGCAAGGCTGTGAGCTACACTCATCCGTCTCTGAACAGACAAGGCAGTACTGGCTCAGAATGCGGGAACCTCCGGGTTCTGGATGCTTCCTGAGGAGGACGGGGTCTGAGGAGGACAGGGTCTGAGGAGGATGAGGGTCTGAGGAGGAGGAGGGTCTGAGGAGGAGGAGGGTCTGAGGAGGATGAGGGTCTGAGGAGGATGAGGGTCTGAGGAGGAGGAGGGTCTGAGGAGGATGAGGATCTGAGGAGGATGAGGGTCTGAGGAGGATGAGGGTCTGAGGAGGATGAGGATCTGAGGAGGATGAGGGTCTGAGGAGGATGAGGGTCTGAGGGGGATGAGGGTCTGAGGAGGATGAGGGTCTGAGGGGGATGAGGGTCTGAGGAGGATGAGGATCTGAGGGGGATGAGGGTCTGAGGAGGATGAGGGTCTGAGGAGGATGAGGGTCTGAGGAGGATGAGGGTCTGAGGAGGATGAGGATCTGAGGAGGATGAGGGTCTGAGGAGGATGAGGGTCTGAGGGGGATGAGGGTCTGAGGAGGATGAGGGTCTGAGGGGGATGAGGGTCTGAGGAGGATGAGGATCTGAGGGGGATGAGGGTCTGAGGAGGATGAGGGTCTGAGGAGGATGAGGGTCTGAGGGGGATGAGGGTCGGAGGGGGATGAGGATGAGGGTCTGAGGGGGATGAGGGTCTGAGGGGGATGAGGGTCTGAGGAGGATGAGGGTCTGAGGAGGATGAGGATCTGAGGAGGATGAGGGTCTGAGGAGGATGAGGGTCTGAGGGAGATGAGGGTCTGAGGAGGATGAGGGTCTGAGGGGGATGAGGGTCTGAGGAGGATGAAGGTCTGAGGGGGAGGAGGGTCTGAGGGGGAGGAGGGTCTGAGGGGGAGGAGGGTCTGAGGAGGATGAGGGTCTGAGGGGGATGAGGGTCTGAGGAGGTTGAAGGTCTGAGGGGGAGGAGGGTCTGAGGAGGATGAGGGTCTGAGGAGGATGAGGATGAGGGTCTGAGGGGGAGGAGGGTCTGAGGAGGATGAGGGTCTGAGGAGGATGAGGATGAGGGTCTGAGGAGGATGAGGGTCTGAGGAGGATGAGGGTCTGAGGAGGATGAGGATGAGGGTGTGAGGGGGATGAAGGTCTGAGGGGGATGAGGTCTGAGGAGGATGAGGGTCTGAGGGGGATGAGGGTCTGAGGGGGATGAGGATGAGGGTCTGAGGGGGATGTGGGTCTGAGGAGGATGAGGATGAGGGTCTGAGGAGGATGAGGGTCTGAGGAGGATGAGGATGAGGGTCTGAGGGGGATGAGGGTCTGAGGGGGATGAAGGCCTGAGGGGGATGAGGGTCTGAGGAGGATGAGGATGAGGGTTTGAGGAGGATGAGGGTCTGAGGAGGATGAGGGTCTGAGGGGGATGAGGGTCTGAGGGGGATGAGGGTCTGAGGGGGATGAGGGTCTGAGGAGGATGAGGGTCTGAGGGGGATGAGGGTCTGAGGAGGATGAAGGTCTGAGGGGGAGGAGGATCTGAGGAGGATGAGGGTCTGAGGGGGATGAGGGTCTGAGGAGGATGAGGGTCTGAGGAGGATGAGGGTCTGAGGGGGATGAGGGTCTGAGGAGGATGAAGGTCTGAGGGGGAGGAGGGTCTGAGGGGGATGAGGGTCTGAGGGGGATGAGGGTCTGAGGGGGATGAGGGTCTGAGGGGGATGAGGGTCTGAGGAGGATGAGGGTCTGAGGAGGATGAGGGTCTGAGGAGGATGAGGATGAGGGTCTGAGGAGGATGAGGGTCTGAGGGGGATGAGGGTCTGAGGGGGATGAGGGTCTGAGGGGGATGAGGGTCTGAGGGGGATGAGGGTCTGAGGGGGATGAGGGTCTGAGGAGGATGAGGGTCTGAGGAGGATGAGGGTCTGAGGAGGATAAGGATGAGGGTCTGAGGAGGATGAGGGTCTGAGGGGGATGAGGGTCTGAGGGGGATGAGGGTCTGAGGAGGATGAGGGTCTGAGGAGGATGAGGGTCTGAGGAGGATGAGGATGAGGGTCTGAGGAGGATGAGGGTCTGAGGGGGATGAGGGTCTGAGGGGGATGAGGGTCTGAGGGGGAGGAGGGTCTGAGGGGGAGGAGGGTCTGAGGGGGATGAGGGTCTGAGGGGGATGAGGGTCTGAGGAGGATGAGGGTCTGAGGAGGATGAGGGTCTGAGGAGGATGAGGGTCTGAGGAGAATGAGGATGAGGGTCTGAGGAGGATGAGGGTCTGAGGAGGATGAGGATGAGGGTCTGAGGAGGATGAGGATGAGGGTCTGAGGAGGATGAGGGTCTGAGGGGGATGAGGGTCTGAGGGGGATGAGGGTCTGAGGAGGATGAGGGTCTGAGGAGGATGAAGGTCTGAGGGGGATGAGGATGAGGGTCTGAGGGGGATGAGGGTCTGAGGAGGATGAGGATGAGGGTCTGAGGAGGATGAGGATGAGGGTCTGAGGAGGATGAGGGTCTGAGGGGGATGAGGGTCTGAGGGGGATGAGGATGAGGGTCTGAGGAGGATGAGGGTCTGAGGAGGATGAGGGTCTGAGGAGGATGAGGGTCTGAGGAGGATAAGGGTCTGAGGAGGATGAAGGTATGAGGGGGATGAGGATGAGGGTCTGAGGAGGATGAGGGTCTGAGGAGGATGAGGATCTGAGGAGGATGAGGGTCTGAGGAGGATGAGGGTCTGAGGAGGATGAGGATGAGGGTCTGAGGAGGATAAGGGTCTGAGGGGGATGAGGGTCTGAGGGGGATGAGGATGAGGGTCTGAGGAGGATGAGGATGAGGGTCTGAGGAGGATGAGGGTCTGAGGGGGATGAGGGTCTGAGGGGGATGAGGGTCTGAGGAGGATGAGGGTCTGAGGAGGATGAAGGTCTGAGGGGGATGAGGATGAGGGTCTGAGAGAGATGAGGGTCTGAGGAGGATGAGGATGAGGGTCTGAGGGGGATGAGGGTCTGAGGAGGATGAGGGTCTGAGGGGGATGAGGGTCTGAGGAGGATGAGGGTCTGAGGGGGATGAGGGTCTGAGGAGGATGAGGATCTGAGGGGGATGAGGGTCTGAGGAGGATGAGGGTCTGAGGGGGATGAGGGTCTGAGGAGGATGAGGGTCTGAGGAGGATGAGGGTCTGAGGGAGATGAGGGTCTGAGGGGGATGAGGGTCTGAGGGGGATGAGGGTCTGAGGAGGATGAAGGTCTGAGGGGGAGGAGGGTCTGAGGGGGATGAGGGACTGAGGGGGATGAGGGTCTGAGGGAGATGAGGGTCTGAGGGGGATGAGGGTCTGAGGGGGATGAGGGTCTGAGGAGGATGAAGGTCTGAGGGGGAGGAGGGTCTGAGGGGGATGAGGGTCTGAGGGGGATGAGGGTCTGAGGAGGATGAGGGCCTGAGGGGGATGAGGGTCTGAGGAGGATGAGGGCCTGAGGGGGATGAGGGTCTGAGGAGGATGAGGGTCTGAGGGGGATGAGGGTCTGAGGAGGATGAGGGTCTGAGGAGGATGAGGGTCTGAGGGGGATGAGGGTCTGAGGAGGATGAGGGTCTGAGGGGGATGAGGGTCTGAGGAGGATGAGGGTCTGAGGAGGATGAGGATGAGGGTCTGAGGGGGATGAGGGTCTGAGGAGGATGAAGGTCTGAGGGGGAGGAGGGTCTGAGGGGGATGAGGGTCTGAGGGGGATGAGGGTCTGAGGAGGATGAGGGCCTGAGGGGGATGAGGGTCTGAGGAGGATGAGGGCCTGAGGGGGATGAGGGTCTGAGGAGGATGAGGGTCTGAGGGGGATGAGGGTCTGAGGGGGATGAGGGTCTGAGGAGGATGAGGGTCTGAGGGGGATGAGGGTCTGAGGGGGATGAGGGTCTGAGGGGGATGAGGGTCTGAGGAGGATGAGGATGAGGGTCTGAGGAGGATGAGGGTCTGAGGAGGATGAGGGTCTGAGGGGGATGAGGGTCTGAGGAGGATGAGGATGAGGGTCTGAGGAGGATGAGGGTCTGAGGAGGATGAGGGTCTGAGGGGGATGAGGGTCTGAGGGGGATGAGGGTCTGAGGAGGATGAGGATGAGGGTCTGAGGAGGATGAGGGTCTGAGGAGGATGAGGATGAGGGTCTGAGGCGGAGGAGGGTCTGAGGAGGATGAGGTTCTGAGGAGGATGAGGATGAGGGTCTGAGGAGGATGAGGGTCTGAGGAGGATGAGGGTCTGAGGAGGATGAGGATGAGGGTCTGAGGAGGATGAGGATGAGGGTCTGAGGAGGATGAGGGTCTGAGGGGGATGAGGGTCTGAGGAGGATGAGGGTCTGAGGGGGATGAGGGTCTGAGGAGGATGAAGTTCTGAGGGGGAGGAGGGTCTGAGGAGGATGAGGATGAGGGTCTGAGGGGGAGGAGGGTCTGAGGAGGATGAGGGTCTGAGGAGGATGAGGATGAGGGTCTGAGGGGGATGAGGGTCTGAGGAGGATGAGGGTCTGAGGAGAATGAGGGTCTGAGGAGGATGAGGATGAGGGTGTGAGGGGGATGAAGGTCTGAGGGGGATGAGGTCTGAGGAGGATGAGGATGAGGGTCTGAGGAGGATGAGGGTCTGAGGAGGATGAGGATGAGGGTCTGAGGGGGATGAGGGTCTGAGGGGGATGAAGGTCTGAGGGGGATGAGGGTCTGAGGAGGATGAGGATGAGGGTCTGAGGAGGATGAGGGTCTGAGGAGGATGAGGGTCTGAGGGGGATGAGGGTCTGAGGAGGATGAGGGTCTGAGGGGGATGAGGGTCTGAGGAGGATGAGGGTCTGAGGGGGATGAGGGTCTGAGGGGGATGAGGGTCTGACGGGGATGAGGGTCTGAGGAGGATGAGGATGAGGGTCTGAGGAGGATGAGGGTCTGAGGAGGATGAGGGTCTGAGGGGGATGAGGGTCTGAGGAGGATGAGGATGAGGGTCTGAGGAGGATGAGGGTCTGAGGAGGATGAGGGTCTGAGGGGGATGAGGGTCTGAGGGGGATGAGGGTCTGAGGAGGATGAGGATGAGGGTCTGAGGAGGATGAGGGTCTGAGGGGGATGAGGGTCTGAGGGGGATGTGGGTCTGAGGAGGATGAGGGTCTGAGTGGGATGAGGGTCTGAGGAGGATGAGGGTCTGAGGAGGATGAGGGTCTGAGGGGGATGAGGGTCTGAGGAGGATGAAGGTCTGAGGGGGAGGAGGGTCTGAGGGGGATGAGGGTCTGAGGGGGATGAGGGTCTGAGGGGGATGAGGGTCTGAGGGGGATGAGGGTCTGAGGAGGATGAGGATCTGAGGAGGATGTGGGTCTGAGGGGGATGAGGGTCTGAGGGGGATGAGGGTCTGAGGAGGATGAGGGTCTGAGGAGGATGAGGATGAGGGTCTGAGGAGGATGAGGGTCTGAGGGGGATGAGGGTCTGAGGGGGATGAGGGTCTCAGGGGGAGGAGGGTCTGAGGGGGAGGAGGGTCTGAGGGGGATGAGGGTCTGAGGAGGATGAGGGTCTGAGGAGGATGAGGGTCTGAGGAGGATGAGGGTCTGAGGAGGATGAGGATGAGGGTCTGAGGAGGATGAGGATGAGGGTCTGAGGAGGATGAGGGTCTGAGGAGGATGAGGATGAGGGTCTGAGGAGGATGAGGATGAGGGTCTGAGGAGGATGAGGGTCTGAGGGGGATGAGGGTCTGAGGGGAATGAGGGTCTGAGGAGGATGAGGGTCTGAGGAGGATGAAGGTCTGAGGGGGATGAGGATGAGGGTCTGAGGGGGATGAGGGTCTGAGGAGGAGGAGGATGAGGATGAGGGTCTGAGGAGGATGAGGGTCTGAGGGGGATGAGGATGAGGGTCTGAGGAGGATGAGGGTCTGAGGAGGATGAGGGTCTGAAGAGGATGAGGGTCTGAGGAGGATGAAGGTCTGAGGGGGATGAGGATGAGGGTCTGAGGAGGATGAGGGTTTGAGGAGGATGAGGATCTGAGGAGGATGAGGGTCTGAGGAGGATGAGGGTCTGAGGAGGATGAGGATGAGGGTCTGAGGAGGATGAGGATGAGGGTCTGAGGAGGATGAGGGTCTGAGGAGGATGAGGATGAGGGTCTGAAGAGGATGAGGATGAGGGTCTGAGGAGGATGAGGGTCTGAGGGGGATGAGGGTCTGAGGGGGATGAGGATGAGGGTCTGAGGAGGATGAGGGTCTGAGGGGGATGAGGATGAGGGTCTGAGGGGGATGAGGGTCTGAGGAGGATGAAGGTCTGAGGGGGATGAGGATGAGGGTCTGAGAGGGATGAGGGTCTGAGGAGGATGAGGATGAGGGTCTGAGGGGGATGAGGGTCTGAGGAGGATGAGGGTCTGAGGGGGATGAGGGTCTGAGGAGGCTGAGGGTCTGAGGAGGATGAGGATGAGGATCTGAGGAGGATGAGGGTCTGAGGGGGATGAGGGTCTGAGGGGGATGAGGGTCTGAGGAGGATGAGGGTCTGAGGAGGATGAGGGTCTGAGGGGGATGAGGGTCTGAGGGGGATGAGGGTCTGTGGGGGATGAGGGTCTGAGGAGGAGGAGGGTCTGAGGAGGAGGAGGGTCTGAGGAGGATGAGGGTCTGAGGAGGATGAGGATGAGGGTCTGAGGGGGATGAGGGTCTGAGGAGGAGGAGGGTCTGAGGGGGATGAGGGTCTGAGGAGGAGGAGGGTCTGAGGAGGAGGAGGGTCTGAGGAGGATGAGGGTCTGAGGAGGATTAGGATGAGGGTCTGAGGAGGATGAGGGTCTGAGGGGGATGAGGTCTGAGGAGGATGAGGGTCTGAGGGGGATGAGGGTCTGAGGGGGATGAGGTCTGAGGGGGATGAGGGTCTGAGGGGGATGAGGGTCTGAGGAGGATGAGGATGAGGGTCTGAGGAGGATGAGGATGAGGGTCTGAGGGGGATGAGGGTCTGAGGGGGATGAGGGTCTGAGGGGGATGAGGGTCTGAGGAGGATGAGGATGAGGGTCTGAGGAGGATGAGGATGAGGGTCTGAGGAGGATGAGGGTCTGAGGAGGATGAGGATGAGGGTCTGAGGAGGATGAGGATGAGGGTCTGAGGGGGATGAGGGTCTGAGGAGGATGAGGGTCTGAGTAGGATGAGGATGAGGGTCTGAGGAGGATGAGGGTCTGAGGGGGATGAGGGTCTGAGGAGGATGAAGGTCTGAGGGGGATGAGGGTCTGAGGAGGATGAGGATGAGGGTCTGAGGAGGATGAGGATGAGGGTCTGAGGAGGATGAGGGTCTGAGGAGGATGAGGGTCTGAGGGGGATGAGGGTCTGAGGAGGATGAGGATGAGGGTCTGAGGGGGATGAGGGTCTGAGGAGGATGAGGGTCTGAGGAGGATGAGGATGAGGGTCTGAGGGGGATGAGGATGAGGGTCTGAGGAGGATGAGGGTCTGAGGAGGATGAGGGTCTGCGGGGGATGAGGGTCTGAGGAGGATGAGGGTCTGAGGAGGATGAGGATGAGGGTCTGAGGAGGAGGGTCTGAGGAGGATGAGGGTCTGAGGGGGATGAGGGTCTGAGGAGGATGAGGATGAGGGTCTGAGGGGGATGAGGGTCTGAGGGGGATGAGGGTCTGAGGGGGAGGAGGGTCTGAGGAGGATGAGGGTCTGAGGAGGATGAGGGTCTGAGGGGGATGAGGGTCTGAGGGGAATGAGGGTCTGAGGGGGAGGAGGGTCTGAGGGGGAGGCGGGTCTGAGGAGGATGAGGGTCTGAGGGGGATGAGGGTCTGAGGGGGATGAGGGTCTGAGGGGGATGAGGGTCTGAGGGGGATGAGGATGAGGGTCTGAGGAGGATGAGGGTCTGAGGGGGATGAGGATCTGAGGAGGATGAGGATGATGGTCTGAGGGGGATGAGGGTCTGAGGAGGATGAGGGTGTGAGGGGGATGAGGGTGTGAGGGGGATGAGGGTCTGAGGAGGATGAGGGTCTGGGGGGGGATGAGGGTCTGAGGAGGACGGGGACCTGTTCCTGCCGCTGTACCCCTTTCATCTCTACCCTGTCTCTGCCCCCCCGGCAGGTCTGCCACCCCACTGCCACCAGGGCTCTGGCTCCGGCCAGTCGTGGGCTTCATGCCTGAAGGCTCCCTGGTGTCCTAACTGGGCATTGCTGCTCCTGAGTGCTGCCCTCCCTGCGGCCCGGTATCTGGGGACGTACAGCCCTAAGCAGGGGTGCATGTCCAGTCTGGACACACACAGCAGGCCTGTCCACTAGTGGCTGGCCAGAGGTGTCTGCTGCCCACCTTCGTGTTCACCCACAGACTGGAGTCTGGCGAGGTAGTGCTCCTCAGCCAAGCTCCATCCCCAGGACGTGGGAGTCTAAGAGGTGTGGACGTCTGTGCTGGGGGCAGGAGGGGCCACACTGGCATCTAGACAGAGCGGGTAAGGTGCAAAGTGGCCGTGGCCTGGGGACCATGGAGGGCACCATGGTGAGGGCCAGTGCTCTTACCCAGCTCACAGTGGACACCCTCATACCCTGGGCTGCAGAGGCACAGGTACCCTGCAGCATGGTCCTGGCAGGAGCTCCCATGCAGGCACGGCTGGGAACGGCACTCATCTGCTTCTGAGGAGAAACCACAGAATGAAGCCACATGGCCGTTACTACGCCCAAGAGAATTAGGGTGGATAGGAATTCATTCCAAGGAGCTGGACAAGGTCTTTGCTGTCCCCTCGTGGGTGGAGACACTGACTGGGCAGGTGTTTGGAGGAGGCGGTCTGGGCCCCAGGTCTTCAGCCCTGACCACGGTTGCTCACGGTGGCCTGGAGGCCTTGCGGAAGACATGGAGTTAACTCCCAAGGCCTCAGCAGTCTGGCAGATCTCACCGCCGTAGCACAGAAAGGCCATTTGTGGAACAGTGCATTCAGGGGCAATCTGCAGATACAAAACGTTCGCCACAGGGCTGGGAAGGTGGCTCAGTGGTAGAGCGCTTGCCTTGCATGCCTGAGGCCCTGGGTTCGATTCCTCAGCACTACATAAGCAAAAAGCAAAAAGCTGGAAGTGGTGCTCTGGCTCAAGTGGTAGAGTGCTAGCCTTGAGCTGAAGAGCTGAGGGACAGCGCCCAGGCCCAGAGTTCAGGCCCCACGACCGGACCCAAAAAAAAAAAAAAAAAACAAATGTTCGCCACAGGTGTCTCCTGTATGGGAACCTCGCTCCGGGGTGTGTGTGTGTGTGTGAATTTAGCCTGAGAAAAACCCAATTGTAGTGCTTACTTAGTAACAGTAGCAACCCTGTGGACCTGGAACTAGCCCCACACACCCGGGGCCGGGGGCTTGTCTGTCCACACACCCAGGGGCTCGTGGCACACGCGCTGCTCATCCACTCAGAGCTCCTCCTCAAAATCAGCCTTTTAAGAGTCTACAGGTCACCGAAACAGGGTGTGGTTTTGTTTTTGTTCCTGAGCACTGTTAGTATCACAGCATGTTATCATCAAGGCCTTGCTGGGGTCCTGGCAGTTTTGGCTTTGCCGCTGTTGGTTGATGGTGTCTGACGTCATCCCTCAGTCTGGCAGGCACTGGCCTGTGCTCTCGACAGCTTGCTATCATAAAAGACGTGGCTCTGTCCATGGGTTTGTATGGAATTGCTAGGACACAGGCAGAGTACCAAGTCATTTTCCAAGTGCCTAGGCCAATTTCTAACAAATCCTGCTGGTCAGGCCTGTCATCCTAGTTACTCAGGAGGCTGAGATCTGAAGATCACAGTGGGGTCAGGGAAGTCTGTGAGACATCTCCAATTAGCCAGCAAAAAGCTGGAAGTGGAGCTTGGCTCAAGTGATCGAGCGCCAACTTTGAAAAAGAAGCGAAGAGCTCAAGGCCCTAAATTTCAACCTGGTACTGGGCAGATGCACACATGAAAAATCTGTTCCTATATTTCACACAAATTATTGTTTTTAGAAAACTCTTTTTTTTTTTTTGGGTCCGGTCGTGGGGCGTGAACTCTGGGCCTGGGCGCTGTCCCTCAGCTCTTCAGCTCGAGGCTAGCGCTCTACCACTTGAGCCACAGCGCCACTTCCGGCTTTTTTCTTTTTGCTTATGTGGTTCTGAGGAATCGAACCCAGGGCCTCAGGCATGCAAGGCAAGCGCTCTACCACTGAGCCACCTTCCCAGCCCTGTTTTTAGAAAACTCTTTAAGCCTTTGCTCCATTTGAACTGACTGCTGTGTGTTGAGGCAAATGTTAATACTTTTCCACGTGCAGAACCATTAACTCTAGCTGTGTTCTGCACCTTGATCCTGTCTCCTGTGACCTCCTAAACTCCCTTCCTTCTTTTGGATTTTCTGTATGTACGTTTGCACCTTTTCCTCTCCCTTCCTTTCCTAAGCAATGCCTTCCGGTCCCTTTGTTCATCAACCTCCAGGAACAAGGAGTGGACAACTGGATCTTCCTGAAGATGGAAAAAAAATATTTTGCCTTAAGTTTGGGAGCTGTAGACTTCTCATAGATGCTCTTTATCAAGCTGGAAAAAAGCTTCCTATCTCTCTACTCGTTTATTGCGTTTTTAATAATAAACTTTGCCAAGTGCTCTTATTACATTGAGCTCAACATCATATGGCTTTCTTCCTCTCTCTTAATATGAGACATCAATTTTCAGATGTAGGCCCAGCTCTACTCCCGATAAATCCCACTTGGTAGTGATAACGGTGTCCTAGTTTTGATTTAGTAATACATTAGGATTTTTCATCTCTGTTCATAGGAGTATTAGCCTAGAATTTCTAGTTTCATAATGTCTGTCTGGATTGAGTATCAAGGCAATATTGTCCTCCTTCCTGTGTTTTCCAGGAGAGCTTGCATATTTGTATCATTCTTTTCTTAAATCTTGAAAGCTTGCTTGCTGGGCTGGCCTTTTCTGCTCTCAGAAGTTTGCCAATGCTGACTTGGCACACTGGGTGGCATCAACCATAAAAGGGCTTGGGCTCAGTGTTTCACCATGGGAAAAGGTTTTAGGTGCTGCGTTGATGTCTGTAAGCAGCCACAGGGTATGTAGGCACCCTGTATTGCCTTGATCCACCTCAAGTTATGCTGTTCTGTGCATATAACCTCCTTTATGCTAGGACTTCACTTTTATTTGCGTAGCACAGTCTCCAAGGTCCTCAGTGCCTTTTAAATCTCAGCTGAATCTACACTTTCACTGGCAACAGTTTCTATTTGTGCTCTTTGTTGTTCTTGCCCAGGCTTCACAGAGATCTATCCTTTTTATTAGAATACTAGCTTTCTTTTTTTTCTGGGGGGGGAGGGGTGGGCGGTCGTGGGGCCTGAACTCTGGGCCTGGGCGCTGTCCCTCAGCTCTTCAGCTCAAGGCTAGTGCTCTACCACTTGGGCTACAGCGCCACTTCTGGTTTTTCTGGTGGTTAATTGGAGATAAGGGTTTCATGGACTTTCTTGCCCGGGCTGGCTTTGAACCACAATCCTCAGATCGCAGCCTCTTGAGTGTAAGGTCCGCTCCTGGATGACGAGCAGACTCCACCCCTCTCCACTCTCCTTGCAGCAAAGTTTCCACCCAGTACCTGTGTTACCTAGCCAGGATTACAGGCATGAGCCACCAGCACCCAGCTTATAATTATTTTCAATATTAATATTTGCTACTTTTCTCTGGTTTTCTTCTTTTTAGACAGTGGCAAGTGACAAGTCTAGTTGCAGTGTTCTGGAGCTCTCTTCTCTCTTCTAGGCTTGCTGATCTTATTCTTTAAGTACTCCCCTTCCCGCCATGAGAGGGTCTTTTGTTCATTTTTTCATTTTTTGGTTGTAGGGCTTGAACTCGGGGTGTGGGCGCTGTCCTGGAGCTCTTTCACTCAAGGCTAGTGCTCACCACTTTGAACCACAACTTCACTTCCAGTTTTCTGGGAGTTAATTGGGCATAAGAGTCTCATTTCTTGCCCAGGCTGGCTTTGAACCACAATCCTCAGATCGCAGCCTCCTGAGTAGCTGGGGTGACAGGCGCGAGCCACCATGCCTGGCTGAGCTTTTTTTACGTTGTCACATTTGGTTAACAATTTGATTAATAACAACATTTAAGTCTTCAGTTTACTTCAGTGTCTCTCCTGTTTGGGATTTACTGAGATTCTTGGAGTGTTTTTAGAAGACAATTTTTCAATCATTGACTTCAAGTCATTTTTTTGCTCAACTTATGCCTCCTTCCAGGGTGGGTGTGGGGGGGCCTCCTTCCAGGGTGGGTGAGGGGGGGCCTCCCTCCGGAGTGGGTGTGGGGGCCTCCCTCAGGGGTGGGTGTGGGGGGCCTCCCTCTGGGGTGGGTGTGGGGGGCCTCCCTCAGGGGTGGGTGTGGGGGGCCTCCCTCGGGGTGGGTGTGGGGTCTCCTTCCGGGGTGGGTGTGCGGGGCCTCCCTCCGGGGTGGGTGTGGGGGGCCTCCCTCCGGGGTGGGTGAGGGGGAGGCCTCCCTCTGGGGTGGGTGTGTGGGTCCAGGGTGGGTGTGGGGGGCCTCCCTCGGGGTGGGTGTGGGGGGCCTCCCTCGGGGTGGGTGTGGGGGGCCTCCTTCCAGGGTGGGTGTGGGGGGCCTCCCTCGGGGTGGGTGTGGGGGGCCTCCCTCGGGGTGGGTGTGGGGGGGCCTCCTTCCAGGGTGGGTGTGGGGGGCCTCCTTCCAGGGTGGGTGTGGGGGGGCCTCCCTCCGGGGTGGGTGTGGGGGGCCTCCCTCCGGGGTGGGTGTGGGGCCTCCCTCGGGGGTGGGTGTGGGGCCTCCCTCCGGGGTGGGTGTGGGGGGCCTCCCTCCGGGGTGGGTGTGGGGGGGCCTCCCTCGGGGTGGGTGTGGGGGGGGGCCTCCCTCCGGGGTGGGTGTGGGGGGCCTCCCTCCGGGGTGGGTGTGGGGCCTCCCTCCGGGGTGGGTGTGGGGGGCCTCCCTCCAGGGTGGGTGTGGGGGGCCTCCCTCGGGGTGGGTGTGGGGGGGCCTCCTTCCGGGGTGGGTGAGGGGGGGCCTCCCTCGGTGTGGGTGTGGGGGGGCCTCCCTCCGGGGTGGGTGTGGGGGGGCCTCCCTCCGGGGTGGGTGGGGGGGGCCTCCCTCCAGGGTGGGTGTGGGGGGGGCCTCCCTTCGGGGTGGGTGTGGGGCCTCCTCAGGGGTGGGTGTGCTGAGCCACAGTCCTCCAGTGGGTGGAGGGTTCTGATGTCACAGTTCTGGGTGGGAATTGGAACCATAGGCACACAGGCATCTAGACCCATCTCTAAGCATCCTGCCCTTGGCTGCATCGTGGCCAGGGTGCCTGGCTTCTCCTGGGGCTGCTCTGAGGACAGGAAACCCCCGGGCAGGGCTGTCCAGAGCAGAGCTGACCACGGCCCCGGCTGCTGCCTCCACAGCCCTGCGGCTGGGGAGAGGGGATGAGGGGTTCCTCCATGCCGCCCGCCCCGAGGCCCCGAGACCCGAGTCACCGAGGCACTGGGGAGGCTGGCTCCAGACGCCCTGGGGCTGGCAGACACGGCTGTGGTGGCCAGGGACATTCAGGCTGTAGCCGTGGTCACAGGCATACAGGGCCACGGAGCCCACGCCCGTTCCATTGAAGCGCACTGTGGCATGCTTCACCTCCTCGGGGCGGCCGCAGTCCACCTCTGCAGGGCACAGCGCCGGGTCCTGAGCGTGGCCGCCCTGCCAGGCCTCCACTCCTCCAAAAGACCCGACTCAGGGCTCCGCAAAGGTCCGGAGCCCCCCACCCAGCCCCCCCCACCCCGCTCCCTGGCGGTCTGGAGCCCCCCACCCAGCCCCCCCACCCCGCTCCCTGGCGGTCCGGAGCCCCCCGCCCAGCCCCCCCACCCCCGCTCCCTGGCGGTCCGGAGCCCCCCGCCCAGCCCCCCCACCCCGCTCCCTGGCGGTCCGGAGCCCCCGCCCCTCAGCCCACCCCGGCTCTCTCACCTGCCTGGCATCTGTGTCCTGTGAACCCTGGTGGACAGTGGCAAGAGAAATCCACGCCCAGATCCTCACAGGTTCCCCCATTCATGCATGGGCTCCGGAAGCAGAGGGAGGGGGCTGCGAGCGTGCAGAAAGAGCCATCCGTGAGCCTCCAAGTGAGGCCTAGGGCCACATGTTTGCCCTGCTGCCAGCACCCGCTCTGCACCCGCACCCACCCCGCCACAGCCTGCACTGCCGACCCTCCAGACCCTGGCCAGCGCCCCCCACCCCCCCCCACTGACCCTCCAGCCCCTGGCCAGCCCCGTCCCCCCTGCCCACTGACCCTCCAGACCCTGGCCAGCACCCCCCACCCCACCCACTGACCCTCCAGACCCTGGCCAGCCCCATCCCCCCGCCCACTGACCCTCCAGACCCTGGCCAGCCCCCCCCACCCCCCCCCACTGACCCTCCACACCCTGGCCAGCCCCTCCTTCCCCGCCCACTGACCCTCCAGACCCTGGCCAGCCCCCCCCCCACTGACCCTCCAGACCCTGGCCAGCCCTCCCCACTCACTGACCCTCCAGACCCTGGCCAGCACCCCCCCACCCACTGACCCTCCACACCCTGGCCAGCCCTCCCCCACTGACCCTCCACACCCTGGCCAGCCCTCCCCCACTGACCCTCCACACCCTGGCCAGCACCCCCCCACCCACTGACCCTCCACACCCTGGCCAGCCCTCCCCCACTGACCCTCCACACCCTGGCCAGCCCCGCCCTACCCACTGACCCTCCACACCCTGGCCAGCACCCCCCCCACCCACTGACCCTCCAGACCCTGGCCAGCACCCCCCCACCCACTGACCCTCCACACCCTGGCCAGCCCTCCCCACTCACTGACCCTCCAGACCCTGGCCAGCCCTCCCCACCCACTGACCCTCCACACCCTGGCCAGCACCCCCCACTGACCCTCCAGACTCTGGCCAGCACCCCCCCACCCACTGACCCTCCACACCCTGGCCAGCCCTCCCCCACTGACCCTCCACACCCTGGCCAGCACCCCCCCACTGACCCTCCACACCCTGGCCAGCCCTCCCCCACTGACCCTCCAGACCCTGGCCAGCATCCCCCCCACTGACCCTCCAGACCCTGGCCAGCACCCCCCCCACCCACTGACCCTCCACACCCTGGCCAGCACCCCCCCACTGACCCTCCACACCCTGGCCAGCATCCCCCCCACCCACTGACCCTCCACACCCTGGCCAGCACCCCCCCACCCACTGACCCTCCACACCCTGGCCAGCCCTCCCCCACTGACCCTCCACACCCTGGCCAGCACCCCCCCCACCCACTGACCCTCCAGACCCTGGCCAGCCCTCCCCCCCCATTGACCCTCCAGACCCTGGCCAGCACCCCCCCACTGACCCTCCACACCCTGGCCAGCCCTCCCCCACTGACCCTCCACACCCTGGCCAGCACCCCCCCACTGACCCTCCAGACCCTGGCCAGCACCCCCCCACTGACCCTCCAGACCCTGGCCAGCCCTCCCCCACTGACCCTCCAGACCCTGGCCAGCACCCCCCCACCCACTGACCCTCCACACCCTGGCCAGCCCTCCCCACTCACTGACCCTCCAGACCCTGGCCAGCACCCCCCCACTGACCCTCCACACCCTGGCCAGCACCCCCCCACCCACTGACCCTCCACACCCTGGCCAGCCCTCCCCACTCACTGACCCTCCACACCCTGGCCAGCACCCCCCCACTGACCCTCCAGACCCTGGCCAGCACCCCCCCACCCACTGACCCTCCACATCCTGGCCAGCCCTCCCCCACTGACCCTCCACACCCTGGCCAGCACCCTCCACTCACTGACCCTCCACACCCTGGCCAGCACCCCCCACTGACCCTCCACACCCTGCCCCCTCACTGACCCTCCACACCCTGCCCCCTCACTGACCCTCCACACCCTGCCCCCTCACTGACCCTCCACACCCTGCCCCCTCACTGACCACACCCTGGCCAGCCCTCCCCCGTGCAGTCTCCCTACCAATCTCACAGTGCCTTCCAGAGAAGCCCGGGGGGCAGTCGCACTTGTACTTGCCGATGTAGTGGAAGCAAGTGCCACCGTTGTGGCAGGGGCCAGAGGCACAGGAGTCAGGCTTTCCTGGGAACGGAAACCAGTGGGGTCGTCACAGCCCCCGTGTCCCCTCTCCACTTCCCCAACACCCAGAAGTGGGGGCGGTCGTCACGAGGACGCTTCTGAGAAGCACGTGGCGGTGGGTGGGGGCCGGGCTCTTCCCTCCTCCCCAGGGCCCGTCGCCGCCCCCCCACCCTGGCGCGCACCGATCTCACAGTGCCTCCCGGTGAAGCGGTACGGGCAGGTGCAGTGGTACTCGCTGCCCACTTCCTTGCATGTGCCCCCGTTCCGGCAAGGCCCCGAGCTGCACAGGTGGGGCCGGGCTGTGAGAGAGAGGCATGAGTGACCCCACCAAGGCCTTCCAGTTCTCTGCCACCAGGAGGTCTCAGCAGCTAGGCCAGAACTGGCGCCTGGCGGCTCACACCTGGAACCCTACCTGCGCAGGAGGCTGAGATCTGAGGGTCCCGGTTCAAAGCCAGTCTGGGCAGAAAGTCCCAGTGAGACTCTTATCTCCAATGAACCACTCAAAAACTGGAAGTGGAGCTGTAGAGACCTAGCCTTGAACAAAACGCTCAAGGACAACACCCACGCACTGAGTTCAAGCCCCACAACTGACACACAAAAAAAGCGTGAACTGAATGAGTTGTTACATCAGACATGCTGGTCCTACGGCCTTCACAGGGTCCCTGGGGTTACGGGTCTCCTTCATCGGGGGGAGGGGGGGAGGGAGAAGGCGCAGCAGGAGGTAGCCTGCCCCTTTTCTCCCCCACCCTCGACCCAGGAGGCTCACAGGTTCCAAGCCCACCACCCCTCCCCAAGAGCAGCCTTCTGCGGCCTGGTGCCTCTCAGGCTGCATCTGTGCGTCAGCACTGGGGAGGCTGGTGCTGTTTCTGGAGTGGGCACAGAACCGTGGAGACAGGGACGCCGGGAAGCCAGCCGACAGGTGTCACCTCCTGGAAGCCGACGCCGGTGCCCCTCGGGGTGTCCAGGACAGGGGTGCAAGGTCACCCCCAAGATGCTGGAGGTCCCAGTGCATGACGTTCCAGCGGCTGGAAGGCCAGGCCCAGGGGCACTGAAGACAGCCACTTTTGAAAAGTATTTGTGGTAGAATCCTTCATATTCCGAGTGTCTAAGTGTGGCAGGCTGTGTGTGCACTCTGTGGTGTCTAAGTGTGGCAGGCTGTGTGTGCACTCTGTGGTGTCTAAGTGTGGCAGGCTGTGTGTGCACTCTGTGGTGTCTAAGTGTGGCAGGTTGTGTGCACTCTGTGGTGATTAAGTGTGGCAGGCTGTGTGTGCTCTGTGGTGTCTAAGTGTGGCAGGCTGTGTGTGCTCCGTGGTGTCTAAGTGTGGCAGGCTGTGTGTGCTCTGTGGTGTCTAAGTGTGGCAGGCTGTGTGTGCGCTCTGTGGTGTCTAAGTGTGGCAGGCTGTGTGTGCGCTCTGTGGTGTCTAAGTGTGGCAGGCTGTGTGTGCACTCTGTGGTGTCTAAGTGTGGCAGGCTGTGTGTGCTCCGTGGTGACTAAGTGTGGAAGGCTGTGTGTGCACTCTGTGGTGTCTAAGTGTGGCAGGCTGTGTGTGCACTCTGTGGTGTCTAAGTGTGGCAGGCTGTGTGTGCTCTGTGGTGACTAAGTGTGGCAGGCTGTGTGTGCACTCTGTGGTGTCTAAGTGTGGCAGGCTGTGTGTGCACTCTGTGGTGTCTAAGTGTGGCAGGCTGTGTGTGCTCTGTGGTGACTAAGTGTGGCAGGCTGAGTGTGCTCTGTGGTGTCTAAGTGTGGCAGGCTGTGTGTGCACTCCGTGGTGACTAAGTGTGGCAGGCTGTGTGTGCACTCCATGGTGACTAAGTGTGGCAGGCTGAGTGTGCTGTCTCTCTGTCTGTCTGTGCTGTGGCTGTCTGTGTTGATCACTGAGCAGAAGGTGAAGCTGCTCTGAGGGACGCAGACTGGAGCTGGCCCTGAGGAGCAGTGACAATGGTGGAGCAGGGCCTGGCAGTGAGTCATGTAGAGGCCGGGCCCTGTGGGCCTGAGGGGCGGGAGCTGATGCCAGCCTGGCCTGCCTGCGGGCTCTGAGGCCCAGGCCTCCCGGGCCCTGCCCACGTTCGCCTCTCAAGTCCACCCCCCACCAGCCCAAGGCCACCCACTCAATAGCACGCCCACCTACCTCAGGCCATGCCCCCACCAGCCCAGGCCATGCCTCTCAAGAGCAGTCTGCCCCTGACCACGCCCCAGCACCTGCCCAAGGCCACGCCCCAGCACCTGCCCAAGGCCAGGCCCCTAAGGACCACGCCCCAGCACCTGCCCAAGGCCACGCCCCAGCACCTGCCCAAGGCCAGGCCCCTAAGGACCACGCCCCAGCACCTGCCCAAGGCCACGCCCAGCACCTGCCCAAGGCCACGCCCCTAAGGACCAGGCCCCAGCACCTGCCCAAGGCCATTTCCTGTGAAGGCCCTGCTCACCTAGGGTCATCCCCTCCCACGGCCCCTCCTCTGCCCCCCTCCATCCCCCCCCCACCTTTCTCGCAGTGCCGGCCCTGGAACCCGCGCCGGCACTCGCAGGTGTAGGAGTCCTGGTGGGCCATGCAGGAGCCTCCATTGAAGCAGGGGTCCGAGTCGCAGGGTGAGGAGGGCAGGGCTGTGGGGGCAGAGGGCGGTCCTGGAGTCTGTGCCTGCCAGGCTCACCCTGCCGTCCTGTCTGGAACCAAGGCCACTTAGGACTCGCTCCTGGGCGCTGGCCTCACTCCTGTGGGCTCGCCCTACCGCCCCCAGGAGGAGGCAGGAAGCTCTCCTCCCCGACCAGCGAGGGGCATGGACTACTAAACACTCATGACATGGGTGTGTGCGTGCGTGCGTGCACATGCGCGTGCCGGTCCTGGAGCCTGAACTAGGGCCTGGACACTGTCCCTGAGACTTTTGCTCAAGGCTGGCACTCTACAACTTGAGCTACAGCTTCACTTTTGGCTCTGTGTGTGTGTGTGTGTTTAACGAGATAAGAATCTCCTGACCAGAGCTTTCCTGACCAGGCTGGCTTTGAACCATCATCCTTAGCTCTCAGTCTTGAGTAGCTGGGATTACAGGTGTGAGCACCGGTGCTTGGCTACACGTTAAGCGTGCACCCGGTTTCCAGGAAGACCTGGTGTGGGGCTTGTCTTTGTCACCGGGCTGCCCCTCTCAGGAGTGGAGGAGATGCCTGCTGCGTTACCCGTGAGGCAGGTGGAGCTCTCCCCCTGCCTCCAGAGGGAGCACCCGCCCGGCCGGCCTCCCCCAGGCCCTGGCCCTGGCCACAGGTGCCCACCACTCACAGTGGCTGGCGTTGTGGTCAGTGTGGCAGACGCACAGGTAGCTCCCTCCATACTCCATGCAGTAGCCTCCATCCGGGCACTGGGTGTTCAAGTTGCAGGGCAGCGCTGTGACCTCTGGAGAGGAAGACGCCCTCGGATCCCTCTCAGCCCCGGGCCCCGCCTCCTGTGAAGGCAGTACTGCCCTCCCCCCCTCAAGGCAGTGCTGCCCCCCACCGCCTCCCGTGAAGGCAGTGCTGCCCCCCCCCCCGCCTCCCGTGAAGGCAGTGCTGCCCAAGCCCCAGAGCCCGCCTCCTGTGAAAGCAGTGCTCCCCCCCACCCGTGAAGGCAGTGCTGCCCCCCCCCCGCCTCTCGTGAAGGCAGAGCTGCCCCCCCTGTGAAGGCAGTGCTGTCCCCCCCCCCCCCGTGAAGGCAGAGCTGCCCCCCCCGCCTCCCGTGAAGGCAGAGCTGCCCTCCCCCCCCAGGCAGTGCTGCCCCCCCCCCCCGCCTCCCGTGAAGGCAGTGCTGCCCAAGCCCCAGGGCCCGCCTCCTGTGAAGGCAGAACTGACCCCCCCCAGTGAAGGCAGAGCTGTCCCCCCCCCCCCCGAAGGCAGTGCTGCCCAAGCCCCAGGGCCCGCCTCCTGTGAAGGCAGAGCTGTTCCCCCCCCCCCCCCCCCCCGAAGGCAGTGCTGCCCAAGCCCCAGGGCCCGCCTCCTGTGAAGGCAGTGCCGCCTCCCCCCCCCCCCCCCCCCCCGCGAAGGCAGTGATGCCCAAGCCCCAGGGCCCCCGCAACTCGACCTCACCTCGGGCGGAGGGGTAGGGAGGGAAGAGCCCCGCCCCACCCCAGCACCTACCAAATTCACACAGGAGCCCAAAGAACCCCGGGGGGCACTGGCAGAGGGTGACGTTGGCGCCCAGGCACCGGCCGCCATTCCGGCACTGGCAGTCGTGCGGGGTTCCTGTGAGGAGGGCAGGGGTGGGCTGTGGGGCGCGCAACACCCTCACCCCACCCCCGCCCCGCCCCCGGCCCCTAAACCCCGTGCGCACAGGCCGCGGGCCTGCCCGGCGGTCGCCCTCCCCAGACACAGCCCCCACGCACGCTCCGCGCAGTCCAGGCCCATGAAGCCTTCGGGACACTCGCACACGTAGCCCTGGTCCGCGTCCACGCAGGTGCCCCCATTCTGACAAGGGGCGGAGAGGCAGGCCGCGAGCACGGGGGGACGCACTGCAGGGAGACCATGGCCAGCAGAGCTGGGGACCATGCTCTGCAGGAGAGCGGCCTCTGCAAGCCCAGCCCCGCCCAGTGCCCTCCTGTGCCCAGCCCCGCCCAGTGCCCTCCTGTGCCCAGCCCCGCCCAGTACCCAGCCCCCGCCCAGTGCCCTCCTGTGCCCAGCCCCCGCCCAGTGCCCTCCTGTGCCCAGCCCCCGCCCAGTGCCCTCCCTGTGCCCAGCCCCGCCCAGTGCCCTCCTGTGCCCAGCCCCGCCCAGTGCCCTCCTGTGCCCAGCCCCGCCCAGTGCCCTCCCTGTGCCCAGCCCCGCCTAGTGCCCTCCTGTGCCCAGCCCCGCCCAGTGCCCAGCCCCCGCCCAGTGCCCTCCTGTGCCCAGCCCCCGCCCAGTGCCCTCCCTGTGCCCAGCCCCGCCCAGTGCCCTCCCTGTGCCCAGCCCCGCCCAGTACCCAGCCCCCGCCCAGTGCCCTCCTGTGCCCAGCCCCCGCCCAGTGCCCTCCTGTGCCCAGCCCCGCCCAGTGCCCTCCCTGTGCCCAGCCCCGCCCAGTGCCCTCCTGTGCCCAGCCCCGCCCAGTGCCCTCCTGTGCCCAGCCCCGCCCAGTGCCCTCCCTGTGCCCAGCCCCCCACAGGCCCTCCCTGTGCCCAGCCCCCCCACAGGCCCTCCCTGTGCCCAGCCCCTGCCCAGTGCCCTCCTGTGCCCAGCCCCCCACAGGCCCTCCCTGTGCCCAGCCCCCGCCCAGTGCCCTCCTGTGCCCAGCCCCCCCACAGGCCCTCCCTGTGCCCAGCCCCCCACAGGCCCTCCCTGTGCCCAGGCCCCCCACAGGCCCTCCCTGTGCCCAGCCCCCCCACAGGCCCTCCCTGTGCCCAGCCCCTGCCCAGTGCCCTCCTGTGCCCAGCCCCCGCCCAGTGCCCTCCTGTGCCCAGCCCCCCACAGGCCCTCCCTGTGCCCAGCCCCCCCACGGGCCCTCCCTGTGCCCAGCCCCCCCACAGGCCCTCCCTGTGCCCAGCCCCCCCACAGGCCCTCCTGTGCCCAGCCCCGCCCAGTGCCCAGCCCCCGCCCAGTGCCCTCCTGTGCCCAGGCCCGCCCAGTGCCCTCCCTGTGCCCAGCCCCCCACAGGCCCTCCCTGTGCCCAGCCCCCCACAGGCCCTCCCTGTGCCCAGCCCCCGCCCAGTGCCCTCCTGTGCCCAGCCCCGCCCAGTGCCCTCCTGTGCCCAGCCCCCCCACAGGCCCTCCTGTGCCCAGCCCCACCCAGTGCCCAGCCCCCGCCCAGTGCCCTCCTGTGCCCAGGCCCGTCCAGTGCCCTCCCTGTGCCCAGCCCCCCACAGGCCCTCCCTGTGCCCAGCCCCCCCACAGGCCCTCCCTGTGCCCAGCCCCCGCCCAGTGCCCTCCTGTGCCCAGCCCCCCACGGGCCCTCCTGTGCCCAGCCCCCGCCCAGTGCCCTCCTGTGCCCAGCCCCCGCCCAGTGCCCTCCTGTGCCCAGCCCCCCACAGGCCCTCCTGTGCCCAGCCCCCCACAGGCCCTCCCTGTGCCCAGCCCCCCACAGGCCCTCCCTGTGCCCAGCCCCCCGGTTGTGCTCCCCCCCCCCCCCGCCTGTCCAGGCTACCTGTCTCGCAGCGCAGGCCCTCGAAGAGCTCTGCGCACACGCAGGTGTAGTTCCCCACCAGGTCCACACAGGAGCCTCCATTCAGGCAGGGATCCGAGCTGCACTCATCCAGGTCTGAGGCAGCAGATGCAGATTTTGAGCAGCGCACTACACAGTGCACTCTGCAGCAGCAGCAGCTGGCCGGGGCCCACCCCCCCCACCCCCCCCACCCCCCCCCACCCCCCCCCACCCCCCCCACCCCCCCCACCCCCCCCACCCCGCAGCCCGCTCACCGGTCTCACAGGCCGCTCCTGTGAACCCAGCCTGGCACACACACGCTGCGGAGCCGCCCTCTGCCTGGCACTGGCCGCCATTCTGACATACCTTGTGGTCACACGGGGACTGGGCTACACGCAACAAGCGGACAGGACAGTGGATTCCAGGCTGCAGCTGCTGCCGGGCAGCGGCGCCCGACGATCCCCACCGAGTCCCACCCGAGTCCCGCGGCATCTGGAGCTGCTGCTCAGGAGTGGGGACTCCAGGCTGTCTCTGGAGGACAGTGGGGAGGAGGCCCAGCCAGGGCAGCTGGCTGTCCACAGAGCCATCAGAACTGGACCCAGCCCGGTGCACCTGGGGTGGTGGCTTCTGGAACCAGGTCCAGCCAGAGTGCAGCGCCCACCCTGGAGCCTCTCTCCACAGGCCCCGTGTCCTGCATGGCCAGCGCCTCGCAGGTGGCCAGGCTGAGGAAGGCCCCAGGGCCCCTCCAGGCTTCGCAGGTAGGCAGCTTCAGGCGGACCCTGAAGCAGCTCCCACACACCACAAAGCCCAGCACTGCCCGGCTTGAGCTAGGGACCCGTGGGTGAGGAGGCCCTGCCTCTGCCTGAGGAAAAGCTCCTCTGTACAGAATGTCCTCCAGGCCTGGGGGATGGGGGATGGGCTGGGCTAAAGCAGCGTCAGCGTCAAGACCCACAAGCAAGCTGAGAGGAAGGGGCAGCGGGAAGTTCTGCTTTCCCCTTTTGAAATCATGTGGCCTTCCCACTTCTCCTGTAGAATTTTATCTAGGTTTTTGTGGTGATTCTTGTTGTGTGTGTGCCGTTCCTGGTGCTTGAACTCAGGGCCTGGTTGCTGTCCTTGAGCTTTCTTTTGTTCAAAGCTCTACCACTTCAAAGCTCTACCACTTGAGCCGCAGCTCCACTTTCAGCTTATTTGGTGCCTAATTGGATGTAAGTCTCACAGATTTTCCTATCTGGACTGGCTTCAAACCACAATCCTTAACTTTCAGCCTCCTGAGGAGCTAGGAGTACAGACATAAGCCGTTAGCCCCCAGCTTTTTAATGCATTTTTTTGGTCGGTCGCGGGGCTTGAATTCTGGGCCTGGGCGCTGTCTCTGCGTTCAGCTCAAGGAGAGCGCTCTATCACTTGAGCCACAGCGCCACTTCAGGTTTTCGAATCGTTTTTTGGAGTAGAGTCTCTCGGACTTTCCTGCCCAGGCTGGCTTTAACTGTGATCCTCAGATCTCAGCCTCCTGAGTAGCTAGGATGACAGGCGTGAGCCACCGGTGCCTGGTTAATGCATTTTTATGTAAGCTTTTTGCTGTCATTCAACTATAGTTCTCCCTAGCAAAACGTGTGTGTACTTAAATTAAATATGTAGCTTTCTATAGCCATGAGCCTCTGATGGGAAACGTGTCTCCACACGGAGATGTCAGCATTGCTGCCGTGTGAGTACACTTGAGTTACAACGATCTGTCACCCGTTCTGTAAATGTCTGTGTTGGGGGGGGTCTGGCTGAGCGACTGACAGGAAGGGCTCCCATTAGCGCCCCATGATGAGGCTGGGGACTGCAGGGGCGAATGTGAGGGGTCTGTGGGTGCTGGCCAAAGGGCAGGAGCGTGGGCGCTGAGTGGATCTGACGGCCGCCCAAGCGGAGGAGCGGGGCTCTGAGGGCTCTGGCAGAGGCCTGGAAGCCTCTGTGCCGGTGATGGCAGCAGCCAGCGGGTGCCCCAGGCAGGGCAGGGGCTGTGGACAGCGGTGGGCAGGTGGGCGCCCCGGGCAGGGGAGGGGCTGTGGACAGCGGTGGGCACCCCGGGCAGGGCAGGGGCTGTGGACAGTGGTGGGCAGGTGGGCACCCCGGGCAGGGGAGGGGCTGTGGACAGTGGCGGGCGCCCCGGGCAGGGCAGGGGCTGTGGACGCGGCTGTGCAGCGGAGCACCTGGCTCCTGGGCAGCAGCCAGGTGCGGGCTGGCAGAGAATCTCCTCCACACACTGCGCCTCTCCTCACCCCAGCCACCGGCATGTGGGCTCTTGTTCAGGCCCGGCGGCCGGCTGGCTTGGACCTGGCCCGGACCAGGTCCTGGGCACCAGCTTCGCCCTTGATCCACTGCCTGGGCCAGGGCAGCCCTTGAGCACTGCTCACAGCCACGAGACGGGGCCGTCCCTCGTGTCTGCCCCCCATACCCCACCCCTGGTCTCTCCTCCAGAGTTGAGTCCACTGCCTCTCCCTGCTGGCCTCTCTGGCCTCTGCCCAACCTCGGCCTCCCCTATCGGTGTGGTGCTGCCCTGCAGCAGGTAACGGGCCCAGCTGGCGCTCACCTGACTCACAGGTGGGCCCCCTGAAGCCCTCTGGACACTGGCAGGTGAAGCTGTTGACGCCGTGGGTGCAGATCCCGCCATTCTGACATGGGTGGGAGGTACACTCGTTCACGTCTGAAACACGGGCGGGAGGCTGGGTTGGGGCCTGCCGGGGCCTCGGGCAGAGGTGAGGACAGATGGGAGAACGCTGAGCTAGAGGCCGCAGCGGTGGTGGCAGAGTCCGCCGCCTGGACCCACGGCGGGGTCCTCGGCCTTCCCCAGCCCGCGCGCGGCCGGCGACTCACCCAGCTGGCACCTCCGGCCCGTGAAGCCGGCGCGGCAGGAGCAGGTGTAGGAGGGGCTGCCGGTGACGCAGTCATCGATGCACTGGCCACCGTTCAGGCACGGGTGCAGGGTGAGGCACACGGAGGCTGCGGGCACAGGGGGAGCGGAGCCTCGCGCCACGTTCCCCAGGGCACCGGCAGGAGCTCCAGCCGCCTTCCCCCCCTGACCACAGGGTCCACCCAGGGACCATGCTGTGGGCCACCAGCGCCCCAGGGCTTCCTTCCAGGTTCTGTGAGGGAGCCTGGCATAATGAGTGTGGCTGCTGCCTCTGGACACAGCACTGCCTGCCAGGCCCCGCTTCCTCCTCATGGAGCCGCTCATCACCCTGGAACGGGCCCTCGCCTGGTTGTGGCTGCTCCCTGCGGTCTCAGTCCCTCTTCTGGTATTGCCTGGGGCTCTGGGAAGAAGCCCTCCGCACGGGGATAGGCCCAAGGACTAGCTGGGCACTCTTCTCGGGTTTAACTTGCTGGCTCACAGCATGTAGCTCTGCCTGGAACCTGGCCTGGCCACACCCGCACCTCGCTTCTCAACCCAGGCTCCTGGCACCCGGCCCAAAGCGATACCTGGCTGGTCAGCGGCATCCTGACCCTCAACCACCACCACGCGAGCCCAGGTCCCTGGGGTGCCTCCAGCTTTCTACTCCCTGGCTCAGTCAGGCCAGGGCCAATGGGTTGCTGGAAGTGTGCCCAGCTGTCCTGGAAAGAGGTCCCTCTCCAGGCTCCTCTCCTAGCCACCCAGTGGGCTTGGTCCGAGACGCTCCCGGAACCTCCCGCTCCTGCACTCCTTGCTCCCTCCCCGCCTGTGGAGCTCTGGCTCTGCCTCTCCTCCCTTCCCACCCAGGGTGGCCCCCCACCACTGCCTGCGTGTGCAGGCGCCAGACTCTCCCTCTTCCCACGGTGCTGCGCGTGTCCGACTCTCCCTCTTCCCACGGTGCGCGCGCGTGCCCGACTCTCCCTCTTCCCACGGTGCGCACGCGTGTCCGACTCTCCCTCTTCCCCACGGTGCTGCACGTGCCCGACTCTCCCTCTTCCCCACGGTGCGCACGCGTGTCCGACTCTCCCTCTTCCCCACGGTGCGCACGCGTGTCCGACTCTCCCTCTTCCCCACGGTGCGCACGCGTGTCCGACTCTCCCTCTTCCCCACGGTGCGCACGCGTGTCCGACTCTCCCTCTTCCCACGGTGCGCACGCGTGCCCGACTCTCCCTCTTCCCACGGTGCGCACGCGTGTCCGACTCTCCCTCTTCCCCACGGTGCGCACGCGTGTCCGACTCTCCCTCTTCCCCACGGTGCGCACGCGTGTCCGACTCTCCCTCTTCCCCTTGGTGTCACGCGTGCCCGACTCTCCCTCTTCCCACGGTGCGCACGCGTGCCCGACTCTCCCTCTTCCCACGGTGCTGCGCGTGCCCGACTCTCCCTCTTCCCCTTGGTGCTGCGCATGCCCGACTCTCCCTCTTCCCCTTGGTGCTGCGCGTGCCCGACTCTCCCTCTTCCCACGGTGCACACGCGTGTCCGACTCTCCCTCTTCCCCTTGGTGTCACGGGTGCCCGACTCTCCCTCTTCCCCACGGTGCGCACGCGTGTCCGACTCTCCCTCTTCCCACGGTGCGCACGCGTGTCCGACTCTCCCTCTTCCCCTTGGTGTCACGGGTGCCCGACTCTCCCTCTTCCCACGGTGCGCACGCGTGCCCGACTCTCCCTCTTCCCACGGTGCGCACGCGTGTCCGACTCTCCCTCTTCCCCTTGGTGCTGCGCGTGTCCGACTCTCCCTCTTCCCCTTGGTGCTGCGCGTGTCCGACTCTCCCTCTTCCCCTTGGTGTCACGCGTGCCCGACTCTCCCTCTTCCCACGGTGCTGCGCGTGCCCGACTCTCCCTCTTCCCCACGGTGCACACGCGTGTCTGACTCTCCCTCTTCCCACGGTGCACACGCGTGTCTGACTCTCCCTCTTCCCACGGTGCGCACGCGTGTCCGACTCTCCCTCTTCCCACGGTGCGCACGCGTGCCCGACTCTCCCTCTTCCCCACGGTGCACACGCGTGTCCGACTCTCCCTCTTCCCCACGGTGCGCACGCGTGCCCGACTCTCCCTCTTCCCCTTGGTGCTGCGCGTGCCCAACTTTGCCTCTATCATGATCAGGCTCGGCAGGGCTTGTGGTGAACGTGTCAGAGCAGCCGACAGTCACTATGCAACAGCCCCGAGGCAAGTTTGGGGGCCCTGTGAGTCCCTGGGAGCCAGTCTCCCCAGTTCCCCAGCTGCCTGCCCTGCTCAGGGCCCGGACCTGTCCCCGTGCGAGCAGCCGGTCCGGGGGACACGGAGGTGGCTGCACGCCCACCCCTTGGGGGGGCGAAGGCGGCAGGGGTGGCAGCGCCGCCGCCCTTCCTCCTCCCCAGCGCCTGAGCTCCGCCCCCGCCCCTGCTCCCCGCCCAGCCTGGTGGTCCTCTTACTTGTGTGGGCGCAGCCCCCCACGCGCACCTGGGCATCATCGATTCTGAACGCCCAGCGCCCGGGCACGCCCACGTTGGTGGTGCTCTCCACGTCAGCCATGTCCGCAGTGCGGGAGCCGGGGATGTTGAAGTAGCGCTGCCCGTCGCCCGCGTTGAAGCCTGCCTGGGGGGGGACAGCCGTGGGCACGGGCTCCTGCAGGGCCACCCTCCCCGAGGCCACGGGATGGCCTTGCCCAGACTCCGCGGACGTCAGGATGGGCCCATCGGGGCCTGACTGCAACCCCACTGATGGGAGGGGGGCGAAGGGGGCGTCTGGACCTCCTGGGGCAAAGGCCACTGGGCGGGAGGCGGGGGGAGGGGCGGGGACGGGGTCAGAGGCGGGGGCGGGGTCGGAGGCGGGGTCGGAGGCGGGGGGCGGGGGTCGGAAGCATGGGGCGGGGTCGGAGGCGGGGTCGGAGTCGGAGGCGGGGTCGGGGGGCGGGGTCGGAAGCAGGGGGCGGGGCGGAGGCGGGGCCGGAGGCGGGGTCGGAGGCGGGGGGGCGGGGTCAGGCGGGGCGGGGGGCGGGGTCGGAGGCGGGGGCGGAGCGGAGGTGGGAGGCGGGGGTGGGAGGCGGGGGTGGGAGGCGGGGGGCGGGGCGGAGGCGGGCGGGGGGCGGAGGCGGGGGGCGGGGTCGGAGGCGGGGGCGGGGCCGGAGGCGGGGGGCGGGGTCAGAGGCGGGGGCGGGGTCGGAGGCGGGGGCGGGGTCAGAGGCGGGGGCGGGGTCGGAGGCGGGGGGCGGGGTCGGAGGCGGGGGCGGGGTCGGAGGCGGGGTCAGAGGCGGGGGGCGGGGGGCGGGGCCGGAGGCGGGGGCGGAGCGGAGGTGGGAGGCGGGGGTGGGAGGCGGGGGTGGGAGGCGGGGCCGGAGGCGGGGGGCGGGGCGGAGGCGGGCGGGGGGCGGAGGCGGGGGGCGGGGCGGGGGCGGGGTCGGAGGCGGGGGCGGGGCCGGAGGCGGGGTCGGAGGCGGGGGCGGGGCGGGGGCGGGAGCTTCCTTTGCGGCTGCTAAGCAGGGGAGCCCAGCCCTGGAGGCCGGCCAGGCGTCAGGGGCTTCAGCTGGCTTTGGGCTGAGGATGTTTGCAGCTATGGGCAGAGCCAGGCCCCAGTGACACCGGCTGGTGTGACCTCACCCTGCCCTGGACACAGCGCGGGGAGGGCGTCTGCAATGGCAAACGGCTGCCTCCCTCTCCAGCTCGTGGCGGTGCCAGCGGAGGGGAGCAGGCCCTGAGCACTAGGGCCAGCGCGCTGACCTACCTGGGCCGCGATGCCCCCCAGGCCGGCGGCGTCGCCCCCGCTACTGGCGTGGGTGCCCGTGGTCCATGTGATGGAGTCGTAGTTGAAGATGGTGAAGGAGAACTTGCCGTCAGTGATGAGCACGGTTTGGAACGTGTTGATCTGCCAGGGCGAGGGGCTGGCTAGGCCTGGGACACCTTGCCCTGCCCCTGGGCCCTGCCCAGCGATTGCTCCATGCTGTTCCCCCAAGGAAGAACTGCAGTGGCCTGGTCTACCTCCCACCCCCACTGAGTCCCAGGGGCCAGGACCAGGCAGCCCGGGGGGCCAGGCTCCAGTGCGGCTGGGCCACAGAGGACCAAATCCTTAGTCTTGTGTGTACAATGAGCAAAGAGGTAAAAAAAATATGGAGATAGGTGAACTACAGGAGCCAAGGAAAAGTGTTTCCTTACTTCCTCCCTCCCTATTTGTCAGTACTGGGGCTTGAACTCAGGGTCCTTTGCTTTGTTCAGCTTTTTCATGGCTCATTAGAGATAACGAGCTTCTCGGATTTATCTGCCTGGGCTCCCTCTCCCCCTCCCCCAGCCGCCTCAGCTTGAGCTCGGCCTGGGCGCTGTCCCTGCGCTCTTTGTACTCAAAGCTAGCACTCTACTACATTAAGCCACAGTGCCACTTCCAGTTTTTGAGTGGTGAATTGGAGGACCTTGCTGCCTGAGTTGGCTTTGAACTATGATCCTCAGATCTCAGCCTCCTGAGTAGCTAAGATGACAGGCCTGAGCTGCTGGCACCTGGGCTTTGAACCATGATTCTCAGGGCTCAGCTTCCTAAGTATCTAGGATTATAGGTGTGACTCTAGCACCTGGCTGAAAAGCATTTTTTAATAGCTATGTCTTTTGGTTTTTCATGAAATTCTGCTTCATGACAATGGTGAGAGTATGTGTAAGAGATGCCATCTCTGAATGGGGAGAAGCAATGATTGTGGGACAAACGGGAAACTCTGAAAAAGGTGACACTGGAGCCCTGCTTTACACTACATACCAAAGAAGGATTTTAAAATGAAGCCCCAGGACTGGAGGTGTGGTTCAACTGGCAGAGACCAGTGTGGAATGAAATCATAAAAGCCTAGAAGAAAACACTGGCCACCATGTACAACATCTCATGAGCATTTCCTTCAGGGGCGGGAGGAGCTGAGGACTGAACCCCAGTGTAGTGCATCTGAGGATGGACGCGGAGCCTCAGGCCTGGGAGAGGACCCCGGAGCCTCAGGCCTGGGAGAGGACCCCGGAGCCTCAGGCCTGGGAGGATGGACGGACCCCGGAGCCTCAGGCCTGGGAGGACAGACGGACCCCGGAGCCTCAGGCCTGGGAGGACAGACGGACCCTGGAGCCTCAGGCCCGGGAGGACAGATGGACCCCCGGAGCCTCAGGCCTGAGAGCACAGACAGACCCCAGAGCCTCAGGCCTGGGAGGACAGATGGACCCCCGGAGCCTCAGGCCTGGGAGGACAGACGGACCCCCGGAGCCTCAGGCCTGGGAGGATGGACGGACCCGAGCCTCAGGCCTGGGAGGACAGATGGACCCGAGCCTCAGGCCTGGGGGGACAGACGGACCCCGGAGCCTCAGGCCTGGGAGGACGGACGGACCCCGGAGCCTCAGGCCTGGGGGGACAGACGGACCCCCGGAGCCTCAGGCCTGGGAGGACAGACGGACCCCCGGAGCCTCAGGCCTGGGAGGACAGACGGACCCCCGGAGCCTCAGGCCTGGGAGGATGGACGGACCTGAGCCTCAGGCCTGTGGGGACAGACGGACCCCGGAGCCTCAGGCCTGGGAGGACAGATGGACCCCCGGAGCCTCAGGCCTGGGAGGACGGACGGACCCTGGAGCCTCAGGCTTGGGAGGACAGATGGACCCCCGGAGCCTTAGGCATGCTAGGCAAGGGCCCTCACCATGGAATAACATCTACCCAAAGAAGAAGACTAGTATGGTGATTGTTAACAGCAAAGAGAGAGTAATGCATTGAGTACCAAAAAGTTCTGAGTTGAATTTGAAGCTCTGAATTAAAATGTGTCTGTAGGACGTGGCAGGTAAGTGAGGCAGCAGGAATGTCTCCAGATCCATCAGACCAGAAATAGTCCAGAAAAACTCCCACACATGAACAGATACACCAGGACAGAATGCGACCACTCAGGAACACCAGGAGAGAAATCCAGCATCTTTAGAAATCAAAGATGTGCAAGATAATGGTTAGAAAAGATGTTGCTTGTTTTGCATGTTTGGTGAGCAAGGAAGGGAAAAGGCAGCAAGCTTCGCTGAGGTGCGGGGAGTGTGCAGATCCCTGTGCCCGGAGATGTGCACAGGCCACGAACGCAACAACCCAGGCCACACGGAGCCAGACCCAGGCACCTGGGAGGGGCAGTTCGGGGCCACGGAGGGTCTGGGAGCCACTGGGCTACAGAGTCCTGAGGACCAAGGAGCCAGCCAGGAAGCGCCACCTGCCTGTGGACTAAGGATCCTGCTCCTGGCAGTGCCACCTGCTGGCACCTGAGTCACTGTCATGCCTATGCCCAGCTGATGCTGGACTCACCCTGCTTCTCTGTGCAGCCCGTTTCCCTGTGCCAGGAACACTCCCCTCACCCTGAAGATGAGGCACCCACACGCCTCAGGGCCCTTCCAGGGTTGGCGATGGCCACGTCCAGCTGAGTGCGGCAGCCGGAGTGGACGGCTGCCTTCTTTACTAGGGTTTGCAGGAGGCTGGGGGACAGGCCCCGTTCCCCTGCCTGGCCCCATGGTCTCAGCCCCGTGAGCCCGGGTTCCTCTCCGATGTGGGCAGGTGCCGGAGCCCGACCTGCCTCGGTGAAGGCTGGGCACAAAGGCGCGGCCCTCAGGATGGAGGTGGTGACTTACCGGGGAAGAGGTGCTGCCTCCAAAAAAGGTCACTTGATACCATGTGGCAACAAACACCCAGGTGGCGGAGAAGTCCAGGAGCTCGGGGAAGTAGCGTCTGATGTCCCCCGTGGCTCTGCGCAGGATGGCCGGGTCCGTGGCCTCCCGGTAGTAGACATCGCCAGCATGCCTGTTGTCCACATCTGCCCAGAAAGCTGCCACCACGCAGCGGTCCTTGGCGATGGGGAAGGCCACGGGGGTGAACTGAGACACCTCCTTCAGGAAGGAGATGACGCCGTTGTTGTTTACCTGTGGGCACAAAGAAGGGAGGTCCTGGGGTAGAAAACCAGAGGAACTGGGGTGCTCTGAGCAGAAAACTGAGGGGCGCAACGGGAACCCACTGCTGCTATCTACGCGAATCCCAGGAAATGGAAACGTGGTGGTGGTGATGGTTTTGCTTTTGTTTTTTTTTTCTTTTTGGGTGGGGGCAAAATGGGCACAGAAATGGAGGGAGGGAGGGTGGACAATGCAGGCGTGGTGTTCAGTACACACTGTATGGAAAACTAACTATGCAACTTGTAGACAGGGACAGGAGGAAACAGGGCAAGCAAGGGAAGAGGTGACACTGTCCAAAAAGAAATGTGCTCATTACGCAAATTTCTCTGTGCAACACCTTAATAACAATGTCACGTACAAGTCAAATACGTGAAATATAAAATGGAAAAAAGAGGGAACTGGGATGCCATAAAACAGCCACCATCCCCACTGTCCCCCCACTGTCCCCCGAGGGAGAGCCGGCCACCACCCCCACTGTCCCCACCGGGGGTCCTGAGGGCGAGCCGGCCTACAGCAGCATGCCAAGGGCAGCTGAAGCCCCTGATCACTGACAGGCCCCTGCAGTCCTGCCGCCCTCTGGACAGGCTGGCTCAGGCCAGGCTCTGCCCTGTGCCCTGCACGGTGCTGGGTCCTGGACTTCTGCCTCCAACCGGGCACCTCAGGAGGTGTAAGTCAGGGCAGAGGCCTGGCTGAGCCAGGCCTGGGAGGGTGAGCAAGAGATTCACAAGACAGCAGCAGGGACTCTGATCTCCAACGGACCACCCGAAAACCGGAAGTACTGCTGTGGATCAAGCGGTAGAGTGCTTTCCTTGAGCTGAAGAGCTCAGGGACCACACCTAGGCCCAGAGTTCAAGCCCTATGACCGCCAGGAAAAAAAAAAGTTGGGATTCTCAGAGCTGGATTGGGAGTGGAGTCTAGGAGAAGATGAGTTATAAAGGTGGGGGTTCTCACAGCTGGATTAGGAGTGTTGTCTTGCAGGTCAGCAGGAGTAAGTTGATGGGAGAAAGCTACAGTGTATTGTTTGATATGTGGTAACCGTTGCACAATGTATCACATACCAAATCATTGCTTTGTATAACTTCAATATACACAGTTTCTATTTGTTGATTATACTTCAATACAGCTGGAAGTATTAAATTAAAAACAAATTAAGAGCAGCCCTAAACATCTACCACTGTAAAACAATACGTGGTGGATTCTGATAATCATGTAGCACTGATGAACAACACGGGCAAAGGTCCAAGCCACCCAGACACAGGCCTGAGCCACACAGACACGGAGCCACAGGCACAAGCCTGAGCCACACAGACACGGAGCCACAGACACAGGCCCAAGCCAAACAGGCAGGGAGCCACAGGCACAGGCCTGAGCCACGCAGACATGGAGCCACAGGCCTGAGCCAAGCAGACACGGAGCCACAGGCACAGGCCTGAGCCACGCAGACGTGGAGCCACAGGCACGGGCCTGAGCCACGCAGACACAGAGCCGCAGACACAGGCCCGAGCCAAGCAGACACAGAGCCACAGGCACAGGCTTGAGCCACCCAGACATGGAGCCACAGGCCTGAGCCAAGCAGACATGGAGCCACAGGCACAGGTTTGAGCCACCCAGACATGGAGCCACAGACCTGAGCCACGCAGACGTGGAAGCACAGGCACAGGCCTGAGCCACGCAGACATGGAGCCACAGGCCTGAGCCAAGCAGACATGGAGCCACAGGCACAGGCCTGAGCCACGCAGACATGGAGCCACAGACCTGAGCCACGCAGATGTGGAGCCACAGACACAGGCCTGAGCCACGCAGACACAGAGCCACAGGCCTGAGCCACGCAGACGTGGAAGCACAGGCACGGGCCTGAGCCACACAGACACAGCCACAGGCACAGGCCTGAGCCACGCAGACGTGGAAGCACAGGCACGGGCCTGAGCCATGCAGACACAGCCACAGGCACAGGCCTGAGCCACGCAGACACGGAGCCACAGACACAGACCTGAGCCACGCAGATGTGGAGCCACAGGCACAGGCCTGAGCCACGCAGACACGGAGCCACAGACACAGACCTGAGCCACGCAGATGTGGAGCCACAGGCACAGGCCTGAGCCACGCAGACACGGAGCCACAGACACAGACCTGAGCCACGCAGATGTGGAGCCACAGGCACAGGCCTGAGCCACGCAGACACGGAGCCACAGACACAGACCTGAGCCACGCAGATGTGGAGCCACAGACACAGGCCTGAGCCACGCAGATGTGGAGCCACAGACACAGGCCTGAGCCACACAGACACGGAGCCACAGGCACAGGCCTGAGCCACACAGACACAGAGCCACAGGCCTGAGCCACGCAGACACGGAGCCACAGACCTGAGCCACGCAGATGTGGAGCCACAGACACAGGCCTGAGCCACACAGACACGGAGCCACAGGCACAGGCCTGAGCTGTTAGGAGCCAAAAGTTGAGTCTCTCAACATAATAGGCTTAACTATCTCACTGGGACAACTTGAGGCTGAGTTTATAGAATCCCACCTTTTCACCACACCCTAAGTAAACACCCTGCAGCTGCTAAAGACCGACCACCTTTTTCACCTTGCCTTAAGCAAACATCCTACAGCTGCTTCGGCCAATGACGGCCAATGAAAAAGCTTCCTTATAAATACAGCTGTGTGAAAAATAAAATTTAGCAGCAGCAGCAGCTTGATCAGAATCCCTGTCTTGCTGTCCTTCTTCGTGTCTCTTGTCCCTTCATTCCTTCTAGCTTAGGTTCACTGCCCTCGTTGACGTCCTGCGGGTCGGGACACTGAGCCACGCAGACACGGAGCCACAGGGCTGAGCCATGCTGACACAGTTCAGAAGATGGGTGTACTTCCATGTCAGTGAGGTGGAGGAGTGGAACCAGGGTGATTCAGACTGGGCAGGAAGGGCGGAGGGGTTGGTGGAGGGGCTGGCAGTGGAGGGGTGGCAGTGGAGGGGCTGGCAGTGGAAGGGTGGCAGTGGAGGGGTGGCAGTGGAGGGGCTGGGCAGGAAGGGCGGAGGGGTTGGTGGAGGGGTGGCAGTGGAGGGGTGGCAGTGGAGGGGTGGCAGTGGAGGGGTGGCAGTGGAGGGGTGGCAGTGGAGGGGTGGCAGTGGAGGGCTGGGCAGGAAGGGCAGAGGGGTTGGTGGAGGGGTGGCAGTGGAGGGGTGGCAGTGGAGGGGTTGGTGGAGGGGTGGCAGTGGAGGGGTGGCAGTGGAGGGGTTGGTGGAGGGGTGGCAGTGGAGGGGCTGGCAGTGGAGGGGCTGGGCAGGAAGGGCGGAGGGGTTGGTGGAGGGGTGGCAGTGGAGGGGTTGGTGGAGGGGTGGCAGTGGAGGGGCTGGGCAGGAAGGGCGGAGGGGTTGGTGGAGGGGTGGCAGTGGAGGGGTGGCAGTGGAGGGGTGGCAGTGGAGGGGCTGGCAGTGGAGGGCTGGGCAGGAAGGGCGGAGGGGTTGGTGGAGGGGTGGCAGTGGAGGGGTGGCAGTGGAGGGGCTGGTGGTGGCGGGGCGGAGGGGCTGGTGGCAGAGGGGCTGACGGGCTGCTCTGGGCTCTTCTGGGATGGAATTCACTTTACATTTGCTTCTCTGCACATGTGTGTAAACACCTTGTCCTGATGTGTTTGGGACAAAGGAGTTAAGGCTTTGTGACAGAAGGGCGCTTGGGGGGGGGGGGGGGTGCAGCAGTGGCCAGCAGCTGCCACTGCTGCAGAGGGCCCAGGGCTGGGGCTGCAGGCATGGGTGCCGCACTGCCCCCGTGCTCCTCTTGGTGGCGCACTCCCGTGACCTCCTGCGCGCAGTGCGAGCCCCTAGCTCAGGGTGATGTGTGCAGAAGAGGCCTCTGGCCCCGCCCTGGATGGCTGCCCTCCCCCTTGTGGAGTGGGGAGGGATGGGGGGGCCAGAGCCTGGAGTTGCAGGAAGGAGGCAGAACAAGCCAGCTCTGTCCCCTGCCAGGGTCAGCGGGACCACAGGGGAGTGGTGGGACCCAGGCCTCACAGGCAGAGCATCCCCCCCTTCCTCCAGAAGGGGGGGAGGGCGGCCCCTCCCACCCACAGCCATGGCAGCCCAAGGGGCTGCAGGAACGTTACTTCACTCTCTTCTTTTACCCTGGGAATCGCTCTTTGTGAAGCGAGGCAAGTGGGAAGGACGCTGCCCAGCAGGTGGCCAGCAGTGGAGGCCTTGCCGGGCGGACGGCCCCGTTCCACCCCCAGCCAGGCCCTCCAGCTCGAGGCTCAGGCCTCTCCTCAGAAGCTGGACTTGAGAGCTTGGGATCCACAGCCTGAGCCAGCTGCGGCCTTGTCCAGCCCCATCTGGACACCCACAGAAATCCCAGCACCTCAGGCCAGGAGGAGACGGCCCCTGGGGACCGTGTGGACACCCTGGCTCCGCACCCTTCCTGTGCAGGGCCTCTCTGCAGCCTCCCTTCCTGTGCAGGGCCTCGGCTGTCTGTCTGTCCAGGGCCTCTCTGCAGCCCCCGTGCGCTGGACTCGGGCTCTTGGGCCTCGGCTGTCTGTGCGGGGCCTCGGCTGTGCAGGGCCTCGGCTGTCTGTCCGTCCAGGGCCTCTACGCAGCCCCCGTGCGCTGGACTGGGGCTCTTGGGCCTTGGCTGTCTGTGCAGGGCCTCAGCTATGCAGGGCCTCGGCTGTCTGTCTGTCCAGGGCCTCTGCGCAGCCCCCGTGCGCTGTACTCGGGCTCTTGGGCCTCGGCTGTCTGTCCAGGGCCTCGGCTGTCTGTCTGTGCAGGGCCTCGGCTGTCTGTCTGTCCAGGGCCTCTGCAGCCACCGTGCGCTGGACTGGGGCTCTTGGGCCTCGGCTGTCTGTGCAGGGCCTCGGCTGTCTGTCCAGGGCCTCTGCGCAGCCACCGTGAGCTGGACTCGGGCTCTTGGCCAGTCCTGACCTCTCTCTCCTCTCTCCCAGCAAACCACCTGCTGCTGAGAAAAACAAAACTCCCACCTGGCTGCAGAGGCCCCA